AACTGGTCTTGTTAGTACGAAAAATCATACTAATACAGTTTAGTATGTTGTACTGTAATTTTCTAGAAAAACTTATAGTTGCCGACAGATAAGATTTATTTAAAACCCAACACCTTATCTGTCAGTTGCAATTGTCAGAAGAAAACAGTAAAATTATTTATTGCTTTGTAAAACTTTCTATTTAAATAGCGAGTCGTTCATCATAATCATATGCCTCACAAAGTTTTGAAAAATTCAGTTTATCAATAAATAGATGGATGTTTCAGAGTCTTCGCAAGGTAATAATTTTCTTCAACCGATCAAAACCATATGTGTTCTTGGTGGTTCTAAACTGGTAAGTTTTTCTCAAACTATTGATATTGTAAGTCAGTTAGTCAAAGAGATGGGGAATCAAAAAATCAATTTGCTGTATGGAGGGACTAGCAATACTTTCTATGATAGTCTCTTAATGGCTGGACAATGTTTTGAGATAGAAGTGAAAAGTATCATACCTTTTCGTAGAGCTTCAACAAAGGTCGTCAAGGATTCCACAAGCATGATGTTAACTCATTCCATTCATGATTGTATGATGGATATGGTGAACAATAGCGATGCTTTTATCATTCTTCCAGGCGGGTATGGAACGCTAATGACAATGTTCACCATTGCTTTATGGGCAGAATTGAAACTTCATAACAAGCCCATAGGTCTATTGAACTTTAATAACTTCTTTCATGGTTTGCTTGGATTTTTAGACATAGGAGTATATCAAACCTTTATATCTCCTTCAATGAGAGAAGTATTCAAATCTGCTGACACGTCTGCTGAACTTATCAAAAAGCTTCAAGAATGCATCACATTTCAAGATTCTGTGGAAACACAAGGGGTCAAGCGAAAAAGAGCTTTTGATCCTTTAGATCTCTCATTATGAACCCAGATATTATTCAAATATGAACCCAGATATCATTCATGGGTGGCAGAGTTACGGAGTTTTACACTCTCGAGACGCACCCTTCTTTTATGGGTTCTATTATGTAATCTTTGCGTATTTTGTATTCATCGAGTATTTACTGCCTCTTTTCCATATTTCCACCATCTGAACATTTTGTACTTGTTTCTCAGTAATAATAATATCAATTTCGATTTTTCTCAGTGTATAGTAGTTCATGACTACAATCATTATCATTTGTGCTTCTTCCGGAGCACTTTATTGTAATATCTGTATGATCTCGTATCCCAATGTGATCTCGTCATCTGATATAGCCCCTTAGACTTATATAATATATTGAGAAATCATTTTTGTGTGATCACCCATAGCTGGTAGCTTTTGATACCACTTTCTCATTTTGTTCAATCATCCAATGGTAGCTTCTAGTACCATTTCATCACTTTGTTTAATCATAAAGTGGTAGCATCCAGTACTACTATACCATGATATCATTTAATCATTATGCCATAACTTCCGACATCACATTAATCATGTGGTAACTTATAGTACCATCTCATCAATATTCATATCTCCATAAATTTGGAGAATTTATCAACTGATACTTCAGGACCAGGTTAGTCCATATAATGTCTGTTCATGACAAGGACTTTAATTAACTTTCACATGGTCAGATACAAAGTATCATTAATTTCACTCATTGGTTATCACTTAATTTGTACTGCCCATCGCCGGCGGCAGTGCCGCACTGGCCGATCTATATAACCACACATATTTATTTTCATATCACATGGGTCAAACCATAAATATTCACATCTTCGCACACCAAATAATTTCCACAATAACAAACTTCAAGCATTTTATAATATTAATATAACTATATCATATTGATCTTCAAATAAAGCTTTCATTATTCCAAGCATAATAAAATTAATAGAAAATAATTTTGGTAATGCTCGTTTTCAATTATTGATAAAACTAAATCTCGAGTTTAATGAAAACAATAGTACTAATAACATTTTGTCCTATTTTGTTTGTCATTTGTGCCATACTTAAATCATGAATTGATGACAATAACATAACATCCACGTATGTACCAATGAATTAACACTTATTTCTTTGGTGTAATGAATAGTGTGTCATCAAAATTTTTCATCATGCATGTAGGAGGATCATATTGCATTAATTGTTTTCAACCAATATATGAGGCAATTTTCATTTTATATTATTTATTTATTCCTTTAAGTAAATGTCTTACCTTGTGGTGTCTTCCATGGACGTGGTCCACACACTTTCACATTTGATATGTCAAGACATTAAATGCAAATTGATATGTGCTATAGTATTCTCATTAATAAGAACCCATATCTCCAATTTCATATTATATAATTTTTTAACACAAAATAATAGAGATGGCATGTTATCATCATTGGAATCTAGTAAGCATACAATATATGGTTGAACAAAAATGTTATTCATAAATGAATGTGAGAGAAATTGCATACCTCCAAGTGAACGAGCTTTGCAGGTAGGCACTTATCATTCTTGTTCATGGTGATTTCTCCATTACAGCGTTCTTTATGCAACAACTTTCAATTTTATTCTTCTCCTAATCTCTCAAATGGTTTTTGCCATTTATTTCATTTTTATATATTTTTTTTTCTAAACTCTTCACCTCATCCGGTTTTGCATCAAGCACAAGAATCAGGGAGTTGTAAATCATTTGCTTGATGGTCTCAAGTATTCATAAAATAATGACTGTTACAATATTCTAGTAACAATGACAAGCAATTTCCATGATTTTTATAAAATGAAAACTGTGAATGGAAGATCAAGATGAAGTGGTTTCCTTTTGTACCGTCTTTTTGTTTTTTCTCATTTTTTTTTTATTGGTTGCTGGTGTATTATATGGAGGTTGGAGCAAAATTGGGTATGGAAGAATAAGTTTAAAATGAATGGAAAAATTCAAGAGTTTCAATATGATCAATCACAAGAATTTGTTTTGGAGAAAGTGGCTATTTCTAATATTCGGATTTCTGATACGGAGGATAATCACTAAGATGCAACCGTAGAGCATACTCTCGTCATATTACAAACCGAGCTCTAGAGGGCAGAGACTCGTGCTGATAACGTGTTATAAAACTAGAGAGAAAGAGAGAGAATAGAGAAAATGTATTCTCTTAGGTGTGTTTTTCATTATAACTGAAGCTCCTATTTATAGGAAACTTCTGATGGCACAATTTGTAATAATACAAATACATCGAGGGCAAAATAGTCATTCACATACATTATTTTATTATTTCATAACAGTACACAAGTTTTGATCATCCTTGATGTTAGTGCATTATATCAAGAGGAAATTACCCCACCCACCATCAAAATCAACTTTATTTGCATATATACGCATCTTATTTTTTATTTGTAAGTATACCAATCCTATAATTCTTATTTGTATGGATACAAACATTATTTATCTCCTCTTTTCCTTTTTCTTTTTTCCTTCAATTATCCATCTCTTCTCCTTCCTCCATTATTCATTCTTTATTTATTCGATTCTGCAAATTAGATCTCTACCGAATTAATAGATCGTCGGATTTTCTGCCAGTGGGACAAAGATGAACTGATGAACTCTGCCTTAATAATGCCTAGATCTGTGTAGCGCCTGCTTTTGGTGGTTCGCACATGGCCAGTTCTCGGCGGTCTAATCGGGTTCATGAATGGCCCGGTGGTGATGCTTCGCAAGGAGGTGAAGTTGGAGATGACGAAGGAGATGATGAAGATCGGGCTCATTGCGATGTCGATACTATATGTTGTGTTTATATATAGTATATTTTCAGTATATGTTCCCGTCGACATAATCTCACAATTTGCTTGTGAGCAGATAGTACTTGTTTCATTGTTTATATGAACTATTTCTTTGTTTATATACAGTATATTTTCATTATATGTTCCCGTCGACACAATTTCAGTGACGCTATGACAATTTGCTAGTGAGCAGATAGGATTTGTTTCATTGTTTATATGTCGATAGTATATGTTGTGTTTATATACAGTATATTTTCAGTATATGTTTCCGATACAATCTGAGTGACGCTATGTTTTTTATCGTATATTTTACAGAACTATTTCTTGATCATGATAGAAATAACGTTGCTCCCGATTTTTGTTTGGAATATTTGTTTTAGTATATTTGTTTGGAAGATGATGATGTTTATAGTTCATAGGTAAACTCTTTCAATTTTTTCTATCAATCCGTTAAACACTAGTTAATAATATATATTCTTAAGTGAGATGGCATAAGTGAGTTTTTTTTTTTTTTTTTTTCCTTTGAGGAGAAAGAGAGAGAGATGATTTGTTATGCGAGATTTAATTTGTTATTAGTTATTTACATGTTTAAGTTTTTTTTTCTTTTTTTTATGATGAAGAGTTCCGTGAAAAATGGAACTGAATCTTTTTAGATTTGGTAACAGATAATCTAGCATAAATACAAATAAAAGCCATTGATTTCCTAGGGTTGCTAATAGTTTACTCTTAATCGTAGTTTTGCAATTATTTATAAATCATATAGGAGGCGTGTAAATTGGCCAATTATCAACATAGCTTTATATCGAAGCATTGCACGTGCTGCAGTTTGTATGCAAATGTGGGCTACAATAGAAGCTCGCACCAAAATGTGAGGAAGGCTCAATACATTTTGGCCCAAATGGAACGGTTGCGCTGTGGTGTTCAAAGATTACGAGAATTTAGACATGGAGTCCACACCTTCTAATTATTGTTATTTATTTTGTGAAATTATTTAGTAATATCTGAAAGTAGTTCAATTGAGTTCATGGCATAGTTTTGAGGCTTTGACAGTCTTTACAGAGACACAAGCTTAACAAATATAAAAGACACCAAATTATTAGCTCTTGGTGAATGAAAAATGGCCAACATTTCTGGAAAAAAATGGTACCCTTTTACTTATAGTTTCTAATTTTTAGTGTTTTGACTTTGATCTAAAAGTTGAAAATCAATCTGTCTTAAGTTTGAGGAAAAAGTAGAAGGCAACTCATATAAACTATACTTAATATACAAATTCAGAAAATGTCACATATATATCCAAATAGTATTCCAACAGCATATACCTTATTCAAAACATTAATGCTCCAAGTAAATTTATACAATCAAAAGAATCAAAACCTATTTCCCTCACTAACCCCCTCTCATCTTCTATGGCAAATTCCTGTCCATAGCTGAAAAATATTGTAAAAAGCTATATAAAACTGGACACATATGTTCTTTATCACTGTGTAACACAATACATTTCACAAACACACAAGAGTTCAATGACCCCCAAAAAAATAAAAAATAAATATCACCCACCCAATGATTAATCAAACTGTTCTCTATTAACTCACCTGCTCCCCAATCAAATCCAATCCCATCACCAAAAATGACAGCCCTTGAAACAGTAAATAGTAAAAATGAATCCCCTGAGCCGACAGTAAACTCCTGGCGGCAGCCGTTAGCAAGAGGAATGCAAGCGCTAGCTCTTTTCTGTAAATCCTATTTGTCTTCTTCTTCTTTGAAACCGAGCCCTTTTGCTCCTTCTGCTCGGTTAACTTCCCAAGCATTTCCAATCCAGATTCCGAAGGCCTTCTCTGAATTTTCTCCTCATTCAAATTTTTCGACTCTCTTTCTGCAAGACTCAGCAAATCGGACTCAGAAGCCCGGCCCGTTTTCTTGGTCACAACCCATTCATAAGCACTTCCGAGCTGGAAAAGGCCCGAGACCATTGCATTGAATTTCGTGACAGACATTGTGTTTTCGAATAGTAAGTATGGCATTAAGAAAGGGAAAGATTTTGGTGAGGGAAGTATATTGAGGATTGACATGGTAATTGGCACGTAACAAATGACCCATGAAGGGAGCTCGGCTTCGGGTATGAACATGGTGAGTGGGAGGATTATGCAGAAGAGTGTGAATGAGTAGAAAGGAAGTATGAGTTTTCTGAGGAGAAAGAATAGGAATATCAAATTTGCTTTTTTCCATGCCGAGATCTGCGGAAAGTAACGGGAGATTCGAATTTTAGTTATAAAGCTAGTTGAGGGCATCAAATGTTGAGCAGTTTATATGCAGAATTTCATTTTTGTTTATGAGTGTTTGACCAAAAATTGTATTTTTGCCAAGAGAAAGTGAAAAAAAAGGTGGCATTTTTTTTTTTCCAATGTTCATACATTGAAATGGTTTTTTTCAGTGATCAAGAATGATAATCCCTAGCCAGAAACCACAATCATGTATTTGAAAAAACAAATTCAAGTGCCCACAAGAAAACAAAAGGAAAATGAACTAATATACATACCTTAGAGGTTAAAATTGCCGGTAAGCACAATCTGAATAGTTGCATAGGTCCCGAATGCCAACGATGCTGCTGTTTCTTGTACGCCTCATAAGATTCAGGCAGCTCACAAAGAACCTCAACATCATTAAGGAAAATGAATTTCCACCCGTGCAAGTGGGCCCGGACAGCTATATCCATGTCCTCGACAGTTGTCCTTTCTAGCCAGCCACCAGACTCTTCCAAGGCCTCGATTCGCCACACGCCAGCTGTCCCATTGAACCCGAAGAAATTTAAGAAATGCCCGTTCACTTGCTGCTCCACCTCAAAATGGAAGCAAAGATTGATGTTCTGTAGCCTCGTCAGCAAATTCTCATCCTTGTTGACAAACGACCAGCGAGCCTGAACGAGTGCTACATCTGGTTTTCCCTGAAATTTAAGAAAAGATGGTGGAACAATGGTAAACCTAGTTGATAAGCTAGTTGATAGGATTTTCGAGCTCAAGCTTTTTCCTACCAAACCAAGCTTATTTGAATATAGAAAGCTTATAAACTAATCAAATAAGTAATAGACTATGTTTGGTAAAAGTAGTTTGGTAAAAGTAGTTGATAAGCTAGTTGATAGGATTTTCGAGCTTATAGCTAATAGCTTATGACTTATGGCTGAAAAGATAGCTTATATGATAAAAGTGGTTGGTAAAATTAGTTGTGATAAGCTAGCTAAAATAAAATTTTCAATGGGTTTATTTGGAAAACTACCCAACTTATGAGATAAGCTCGAGCTTTATAAGAAACTCGTCCTACTAAACCAAGCTTATTTGATTTGAATACAAGAAACTTATAATAAGCTAATCACATAAGATACAAGCTAGCTTATATGCTTACCAAACACAAACACAGCCTCCTAAAGTAAATTCCTTTTCTATCTTTTCCCACTAAACGTGGACAAATTTTATGAATGCCTATCACACAGTGACAATTTTGGCTCGACTTGGAGAAAACGAGAATTTTTTATTACCTTAAAATGAGGCACGGTGAGTTTGAGGAAATCGGGGTTGGGCTGGAAATCGGCATCTAATATTGCGACAAATTCGTAGTCTTTTACATAGTCACAGGCCATGGCCGATTTGAGGTTGCCAGCTTTGTAACCTGTTCGGATAAACCTGTGCCTGTACACTATGTTGACCCCTTTTTCTTTCCAGGACATGACCTCATCTCTTATCAAGTGCTGTAAAAGTTCATCATCTGAATCATCCAAAACTTGCACTAGAAATCTATCTTTGGGCCAATCCAGCTGGCAAGCAGCCGCTATCGATTGCTCGTAAACCTTTAAAGAGAGAAACAAAAAAATCAGAATTGAAGTGAAAAGGTTAAGCAAGCATGGCCTGAAGGCTCGAGTAGGAGGAATGCAAAGAATTTACTATATATAGTTAATGTTTTTCATGATCAAAAGCTACACAATATGTCAATATCCATTCAGTCACATAAATCTACTCAAGGCTTATTGAAATTATCTCCGAAGAATTTATCTTTCAGCATATCACACGACATCTCTGTCTGGTCAAAGGTATTCAATACCATAAATGTGAAGAACAGAAGAAGAAAACATTTGTAATTTGAACAATAATAGTTTCTTTCCTTTTTCATTAAGCTAAAGCTTTCTAAATTAGTCCTAGATTGACAGATAACTCACAATATCTCTGTTTGGTCAAAGGTATTCAATACAATAATCCTCTATATGCAAGTTTCAATCATGTCTGAACTAATAATACTGCTTCTGATGATGACAATAGAGAAAATCCTAAAAATAGAAACATGATGAAACCAACGGTAAGCAAGCAATTTTTTGTCGACCCGCCTAACGGTTAGTCCCTACTCACACAACAAATTGCGCTTAATCAATTAGAAACAATAAATAAACCAATTTCATTTAAAAAAAATTCTGAGTATTTTTGGTGACATTCTAAAAATTACCTCCTTCTCATTGCACATAGGGATCTGAACAAGAACCATCGGAAAACCCGACTCGTTCTCCAAATCTCCCGACCCGAACTCATCGGCAATGGGTCTCAGTCCCTTGAACTTGATCCAAAAACACCCAAAACACTGCAAAAACCTATCCAGCGACTGGATCATGAACAAGACGACACAGAATCTCGAGAGAGCCACGATACACGGCGCCACGTAATCGGCCCTGAACCCCAGCCAGCCCACGTACGCCCACCGCACCAGATTATCGCTCACCTCCCACGGGCGGCTCGCGAACCCTAAATCCCAATCGCTGAAATAGGCGAAGGTCTCGAATGCCAGCCCAATCACCGACACGGCGAGGAACGCCTTTATGAAGGCGTACAGCCGCCCTCTGTACCTCGGGTCCTCCTCGCTCGGATCGGACGTGGCAATGCGCTTTCGAACCGACCCGAGTACCCCGAAAAGGCCCGATACGACCCGGTGGGCTTTCAGGAGGAGGACACGGGCGAACCATTTAGGGCTCGCGGCCTTCTTCTTCTTCTGGTTCTCGTGGAAAACCGGATCGGGTCCTTGCGGGCCGGGTGCTTCGATCAGCGAGATGTTTTCGGGCTTCTCGAGCGTGATTACTACCGTGTTTGGGGCCATGATTTTTTGGGAGATGGGTTCGATTGGGTGGAAAATTTACGGGATTTGGGGAAAAGGGGGGAAAATTTTGGAGTTTTTGGTGAGGTCAGGCCATGGTTAACAATGGCGGAGAACAGAAAGTGACAGTTACACTACTAAAATCTGGATCTCAAACAAGAAAATAAGAAGATGGGTTCAGGCACAGAGCTGCAGAAATTCAGTTCCTTGCAGAGAGAGAGAGAGAGGCAACGTGCTTGTGGGAGCTAATAAAGAAGCTGGGAAATGTTGATTACAGGCTCCATTGTCAGTGGTGAGGCAGAGAGATGAAGGTTCAGGTGAATAATTTAAGATGAAAAAAAAAAAGGATTAAAAATTGCAGCAAATTTTGAAATTTTCTGGCCTGATTCAAATTGGAAAGAGTGTGGTGCGTGTGTGTGTGTTTCTTACTTTCTTGTTTTGTTGGTTTGGTTTTGAAAATCCATCAAACCTCAATTATATTCATATGGGTGCTTGCTGGGAGAGGAAAGTTCACAACATTCACCACTCGGAAGAAAAAAAAAAACAGTGTCGGTGTCAATTAACAAGCAGTTAGTGACAACTAATTACAGCCAAATGAGGATATATTTGAATATAAATTTCTTTTGTCTAAAACCCAGTTGTGAACCTTCGTGTCTTGTCTGGTCTGATGATCTGTAATCCGTGCACTATATTGCTTTTTTCTCTTTTGTGGGTTTTCTTTTAGTACCATAATTTATTGCAAGGAGGCCAAGGCTATTGTTTTTGTTGGTAAAAGTAGGGGTTTAGTTATTAAATTTGATTTACTGAGTTCGAAATTTTTTATCAGCATATTTAGTCTACGAACTGACTCGACTCGACAAAAAAATTAAGCTTTGAATACATAATCTTGAGCTCGGCTAAGCTTGATGTAACTATAGTTATTATCTTATAAAACTAAATTGGATTGTCTTGATTTATTTTAGTTTCTCGTAGAAGGTTCTTCGATTATTTGGATGAATTCAATCTTATTTTTATGGCATTGTTTTTATAAGATTTAACTCTAGGTTTATAATATACACAGAGTGTGTGAAATTAATGATTAAAAAACTCATATGATTGGGTAGACATGAAGTCACCCATATATTTTGAGCTATTTTAAATATTTACTATAATTTTTTAAAGACTTGTATAAAAATGCGATATTAAAATGAAATAATATATAAACTATTCATAAACTAGTTATAAACCAAAAATTAATACATACGAAAAATTATTGAAAAATTAAAAAATCCTACATGTAAAATAAAATAAGATTTTAAAGCAAATGGTGTAATTTTTTTCTATATTATGAATTGAATGTTGTGACCCACAATTTTGACATTTCACCTTTTTTTGTTGAACAAAAGTGTTGAAGTTATAAATAAATATTTAACACATGGAAAAGAACTCTAGATGTAGGCACATATGTGAATATATGTGTTCATAATGTTGTCTTTTCTTTGAATTAATGATATTAACACCAACATCAAACCTTAATACAACGTTAATTCAGACTCCGGTGAAAAAAAAGGACATTTTTTTTTTATAATTTTCAAATTTCTAAGTCATTATCAAAGAGTTCTATAGCATTTTGGGCATATCAAGACCAAAAAGTCTTCATGCTTCAGCCACATGATCTAAGAAGCTTCAATCATTTTTATGGTTTATTCGAGCAACTCATTAATTAAAGTAGAAATAATGTAGTAACACTTATGTTTATGAAATAAAGAAACTGGCCAGTTGTAGAAAATTTGGAAATATAATGATTAGAAAAAACTTCCATAAGTGAAAATTTTGGCCCAGAAAAATGGTCAGCATCCAGATTTGAACACACACGATAAAGTCATAGAAAAGTAGAGAAATATCATCGTGGTATGGAAGTTCCTAGAAATTGGGGTTTTCTTTTGTTTTATCAAATTAGAATATCAAATTTCACAATCATAAAAAATTATTACTAACTAAATAAATCAATTATGTGAATTAGTGGTTGTTTTCTGCAGTTAGGAAGTGAAATTTTCTATATAATATGTGTTTGGTATTTATAAATTAGTGTGCATTTAAAAATAGTGGAAAGTTTTATGATCTATCCATTTTGTTGGGCATGTTCTATATATAATTTTGAATTTTATATATAGTGCTGTTAAATTAAAAGAGACTGACTCATTTCTACTCGAGCTCAGCTCGTTAGGATTCAAAGAGAGAAAATATTTTTTTATAGTTCTGCTCGTTAAAGCTCGAGATCAGTTCGTTATGGCTCGAGCTCAAATCTCGACTCGTTAAAAACTCAAGCTCGAACTGGAAGACCCTAAGCTCGAGTTCAGCTCAGCATGGAAGGCTATACTTCTATTAATTGTCAGATTAATTGAATTTGATTCACAAATCTTAGGTCAGGCATATGCAATTTTGACTATTTTAAGTTTTTATATCCTACATTTGATTTTATATTTTTGTTTTACTTTGTTTCATTTTTTGCACCGTTCACGCGATGATTGACTCCTCGGATCAAAATTTAAAATAATCACAATTTTTTTCTTTCAAAGGCGCTTTTAATAATCGGGTTTATTGTTATAATCACACAACAGTTGACTAATTAGGAATTAAAAATTAATAAATGTGGTTATATGTTTACAAATAAGCTGGACTTTACTGTTTTGTNTATTTGTTTAAGCTGAAATGTTATTAGAATTTATTTTTTCTTATATTTTATCTTATAAAAAAATGAGAAAACAATTAAAATTAGTAGGAAGTGTTAGATATTTTATAACATTTCCCAGCTTCTTTATTATACTACATATGTATTGAATTTGCCAATGTCTACCCAAATATATCATACTAAAAAATAACCTTTTTTTTTCTTTTTTTTTTCTTTTTTTTTTCTTTTTTTTCTTTTTTGGTAGCTAGATTTAAGATTTGAACCAATTTTTGGTGGGGTTTATGAGAGACTGGTACCCACACAGTATCGAATTATACGAGTTGTTGATTAATTAATAATTATCCAACTAAGCCAATCTTTGAACTAGAATTAGTCTGGTGTCTGTCTGGTTATGAAACCAATTATCCAAATATAACTGCATAGAAATTCATACTTAAAAACAACACAATGAAACAAATATTTATCTGTTTTGAAATATAATATTTATATTTATTTTTTTATTTATTAGACATGATTCTTTTTACTATTACTACTTTTAAGAGACAAAAAAGAAAAAAAGGGTTAAAAACAGATTTATGGAGAGCTGATACCGATGCACCCCACCCACTAAACAATGGGCCAAGACCCATAAGAGCCCACCATCGCTGTTTTCTAGACCACATGCGGACATATTTTGCCCATTACCCCATACGCTGGGCTATCCTATTCTTGGGCTGTCTCAATAACAAAATTTAGTTTTAAAATAATACTAATCCGATAAATTATAAAATTAATTATACATTTATATATGACTTAACCGTTAGACAACTCTACATTTTAAACAAATATACATATTTTAAAATTTAAATATCATACTCTAAAAAACAGTAAAAACGAAAGTATGAAATTTCATAGCATACACCTGCAATTTTCGTTGAAAAAGTATGACGGATGTTGTGTGTTTTTATTTTTTATTTTTAAGATTTGGGAGTGATACCCCACAATTTTAAATTTTCAACTCAAATCACACTTGACACGCCAAGAGATTATCATCAGTAATGAAGAAAGTGATGCATAAACAACCCATGTAATGTAACTATCAAGATGTATGCCATTTTTATTTTATTTTTTTATTATTTTTCAGTCTAAAAGTGTACACACACATTTTTGAAAAATTAACTTCTCAGCCACATTAAGAAAACAATGCATTAGTATTATTATTATTATTATTATCTGAGTTGAGCTTTAAGTGAAAGCAATCCCATTAGATTCACATATTCAGCAAAAACAGAGAATCAAACAGAGTGATAAAATACAACTCACTCGAAATTTCCCACCCTTAAATGATTCAAATTCATAATACCAATTCATAATGGCCTCTAACTGTAATAAAGGAGCTTTCTTTTGGTCATCAATAATAGCCAAAAATAACATCCATCATTAATGATCTAATCACAATCACCAACATAAGACAGAACACCTCTCTCAGGACAAACATCAAACACCTTATGCTCAACAACAATCACATACATAAGAACCCAAACTTCCATAAATAAAAAAAATTATGCCAATCAACAATCAAAACTCAATATCACCTGCATGAGAAGCTTTCGGGTAGCCATCGTAATCCAATTTCACATTCATACTGGCGCAAACAGCCCTAAATTTGAGCCTCAGGGAGTCCATCATATCCGAGACTGTCTCGTTTTCCGGCTCCAAAATGGGGTACTTCTCGAGCAGCTCATCCATCTGCTTAATCATCCGCTGAATTCGGGCCGAGACGAAATCCGGGTCGACCCGAACCGCAGAGCTCCAGATGCCCACGCAGCCTCTGTAGAAGCCCAATTCTTCGCCGACCTCGAACCCGGTCTTGAGGCCCACTTGCCGGCCCTCTTCCTTGCCGGCGATTAGGCCGTCCGCGTGGCCCTCGCCGTAACCCTCTTTGAAATGGGTCTCCTCCAAGTTCAAAGAAGACGCAAAGATGTCTTCTATGCCGCCGTCCATGAAGAAGCAGCCGGAAAATTCCCTGCTTTATCAACAATTGAAAATGGTATTGAGGAGAAATTATTGGGATTTAATCATGTCAAGACTCAAGACTAATGTATATGAATAAAATCACAAAAAAATTGAAACTCGATTAAACAGAAAAAAATTACCAATGTGAATCGATTAAACAGAAAAAAATTACCAATGCTTCACATTGGTTTGAGTTTCAGCCTTTGAGGTGATCATCGGCCAAATACGAGCTTCGAGCTACCCAATTATTTATTTGTAGCCCTAGTTGGGACAATTGGGCAGCTTATGTAACTCACAATAAGCTTTTCTGTTTAAATTTGAGTCCAAGTCGGCCCACTAGATTCCTTGATCTTTTTAAAACTTTAACCTATAAAACGTGTTTAGTAGAAAATAGGTACTAATACTTCATTAATAAAAGTGATCAAAATTAATTAGAAACATAACAATTGATAGGTTGAAACATGTTCACAATTTATATATTTAATAATATATTTTTGTATACTTAATTTTATCAAACTTTCATATGGATTTATTGTTAGATATGTTTAGATATACTCAAATCTTTGTATATCTTTAGTTGTTTTTTGTTTCCTTCTTTTTCGTATTGTACTCTATTTATTCGTACCCATGTATTCAGTTTAAGCAAGTGAGAATAAGATCTCTTTGATTATCACATGGTATCAGCCAAACTCTTTGGCAAACCCTAATTTTTTTTTTTTCGGCCGTTCCTGCTTCATTCATGGCCTCCGAGGGTAGCATTCCTTCGCTTCCTCTGTCTACAATGATCCATATGGTAAATATCAAACTCACTTCCGCAAATTATCTCTTGTGGCATGCCCAGATCGAACCCCTTCTCATCACCCAGGGCTTTCTTTCGCATCTGGATGGCTCATCCCCATGCCCATCGCGCGAGATCACTACACCTGCAGGTCTAAAAACTCCTAATCCCGACTTCGCCTCCTGGTATTCCCGGGATCAACTGATCCGACTATTTCTTGTTTCTACTCTTACGGAGGAGTCCATGGCCGTTGTTATCGGATGCACTTCGTCCCGCGATGTCTGGACCTCTCTGACTCGTGCCTATAGTCATGCCTCGAAGGCTCGAGAACTCAGCCTGAAGGACGATCTTCTCTCGGTCAAGCGTGGGGATCTCTCGGTTTCTGAATATGGACAGCGTTTCAAGACAATTTGCGACAAACTTGCTGCCATCGGTCGGTCTATTGATTCGACTGACAAATCTCACTGGTTCCTGCGAGGTTTGGGGCCTGCTTTTTCGACGTTCACGGCCGCGCAACTTGCTCAGGAGCCTCTTCCTGAATTCGACACTCTTCTTGCTCGGGCCGAAAGTCACCAACTTTTCCAGCGTTCATCTGACATCTCGCCATCGTCCTCTTCAGTTGCCTTTTATGCTGCTCCCAAGGGTCGTCCTCCGACCTCGTCTCAGCCACAAGGACGTTTCAAGAAAAATAAAGGCAAAGGTCGTCGTCCGCCGTGGTGCTATTTCTGCCGTGAAGAGAACCATGATGCATGGGACTGTCCTAGACGTTTTGACCGCTCTTTCACTCGGCCCTCCCGATCCTCTACTACAGCTAATCTGGCCGAAGCACTATCAACAGGCTGCTCCATATCGCAACCTAATGTCTCTGATTGGTACTTAGACACTGGGGCTTCTGCTCATATCACCTCGGATGCATCTCAGCTTGATGATCTTACTGATTACACCGGCTCCGATCGTGTCACAGTGGGTAATGGTGATCAACTTCCTATCACGCAAACTGGTTCTCTTATTTTTTCTAATCATCTCTATTTACGTGATGTCCTCGTTGTGCCTAGCATGACTAAGAATCTTTTGTCTGTTAGCAAATTGACCAGGGACTTACCTGTTCATGTTATCTTCACTGACTCTTCCCTTCGTATTCAGCACAAGGACAACGGCAACATAATCGCAACCGGCGTGCGTGATAGTGGTCTCTACCGTTTGGATTTGGCGGTCAAAGCTCTTACGGCTCATACATCCGGCTCTCGGCGTGCTTCCTCTGACCTTTGGCATTCCAGACTTGGACACTCCTCTCCAGCTATTTTATCTACTTTAGTCAATATGAAGTTGTTATCTGTTACTTCCAGTTTTTCTAAGTCCGTCTCATGTACTCCATGTCATTTAGCTAAAAGCAAGCGTTTGTCTTTTCCTGTTTCAACAAAACGATCTTCTGCGATTTTGGATTTAATTCATTGTGATTTGTGGGGACCTTCCCCGGTTACTTCTACTGCTGGTTTTCGGTATTATGTTATTTTTGTGGATGACTACTCGCGTTTTACTTGGTTCTACCCTCTTCGTGCCAAATCAGATTTTTATGAAACCTTTATAAGCTTCCAGGCCTTTGTGGAAAATCAGTTCTCTTGCACCATCAAACGTTTTCAAAGTGACGGGGGCTCTGAGTTTGTCAACAATCGTGTTAAAGCACACTTCTCTAAATGTGGAATTCACCATCTTCTATCATGTCCGCATACTCCGGAGCAAAATGGTAGAGCTGAACGGAAGCATAGACACATCACGGAGATGGGTCTCACTCTTTTGTTTCATTCTTCGGCTCCTCTACATTTGTGGGTTGAAGCCTTCAGTACTGCTGTGTTCACTATTAACCGACTTCCTTCACCGGTTCTTCACAATATTTCACCATTTGAATGTGTCTATGCAACGCAACCGAGTTATGCTCTCTTTCGCGTTTTTGGGTGTCTGGTTTTTCCATGTCTACGCGACTATGTGAAGCACAAGCTCCAACCTCGCAGTCAGCCGTGCATCTTCATCGGCTATAGTCCTTCTCACAAAGGTTTTCGATGCTTGGATCCGTCGAACTCGAAGGTCTATATCACACGCCATGCTCACTTTGATGAATCGTGCTTCCCTTTCTCTGCAGTCACATCTTCGGTTGCTCCTACTTCTCTAGATATCTCAACTTATGTTGATGGTTTTCTTGCTCCGGATACCGATCCTCTTTCCACATCACCTGCTCCGCCGCAGGCTCCTTCCACTTGCCGCATCTGCGCGTCGAGTGACTTGGTCCAGCCATCCTTTGTCCCACCACTTAATCCTTCTGTTACGACCCCCGCTGATGTTTTTCCTCACGACCAGCCTGCTGATGCACAACTCGATCTCCAGCCGGATACCACGCCACGAGCTCCTCCTGCTGCGCCACGAGCACCTCCTGCTGCCACGCATTCGATGCAAACTCGCGCTAAGTCCGGTATCTTTAAACCTCGATATCCTGCCACCATTAACTGTGCATCTCTTCTTACTGCTCTTACGGCTATTCCGGAGCCACGTGGTATCACGACTGCTCTTAAATCTCCGGAATGGGTGCGTGCTATGCATGAGGAATTATCTGCTTTAAAGGCCAATAATACTTGGTCTCTCGTGCCGCGACCTTCCTCCACCAACGTAGTTGGTTCGCGGTGGGTGTTTCGTACTAAACTTCTTGCTGATGGTTCTGTTGATCGGTATAAAGCTCGCTTGGTTGCCCAAGGGTTTAGCCAAATTCCTGGTTTTGATTTCACTCACACCTTCAGTCCGGTTGTCAAAGCCTCCACTATTCGGATCGTTCTTTCACTTGCTGTTATGCACTCCTGGCCACTTCACCAACTGGACGTCAAAAACGCCTTCTTAAATGGTGTTCTCTCTTCCCCGGTCTTTATGGAACAGCCCCCTGGCTTCATTGATCCTCGTTTTCCTGACCATGTTTGTCAGTTAAATAAAGCCATCTATGGTCTCCGGCAGGCTCCCCTTGCTTGGTATCAACGCTTCCGCGGTTTTCTGCTTTCCATTGGTTTTTTATGCAGCTCTTCTGATACATCTCTGTTTGTTCACAAGAGTGGCGACACATTGGTTTATCTTTTGGTTTATGTTGATGACATAATCATCACAGGCAACGTTCCAACTGTCCTTGCAGCTCTCATCTCTCGTATGCATCGCGAGTTCGCGATTAAGGATATGGGCTCTCTTGGCTTCTTTCTTGGTCTAGAGGTTACTCGTTCCTCTTCCGGCTTATTTCTCAGTCAGACTAAGTACGCCTTGGACATTCTTCAACGTGCTGAGCTCCAGCACTCCAAGCCCGTGGCTACCCCGCTTGCACCCGGTTCTTCCATGACCAAAGATGGTGATCCTTTTGACAACCCGACACTTTATCGTTCTCTGGTTGGTGCGCTGCAATATTTAACAATCACGCGCCCTGATATTTCTTATTCAGTAAACACTGTCAGTCAATTCCAACAACATCCAACCACTGATCATTTTCATTCTGTCAAGCGGATTCTCCGCTATGTCAAAGGGACGCTGAACTATGGTTTATCTTATTCTGCTGGTCCTTCTTCTCTTGTTGGATACTCCGACGCTGACTGGGCACGGTGTTCTGACACTCGTCGCTCAACCTATGGTTATGCCATTTATCTTGGCCCCAATCTTGTTTCTTGGAGTGCGAAGAAACAGCCAACCGTGGCTCGCTCTAGTTGTGAGTCTGAATATAGAGCCATTGCTCACACTGCTTCGGAAATCCAATGGGTCATGAATCTCCTTCGCGATTTGCATGCGGTTCCCCCATCCTCTCCAACGCTTTACTCTGATAACACAAGTGCGATTTTTCTCACTCAAAATCCGGTTTCGCATAAGCGTGCAAAGCACATTGATATCGATTATCACTTCGTTCGCGAGCTTGTGGACTCTGGGCGTCTATTCACTCAATTCGTAGAGTCCGACAATCAGGTGGCGGATATATTCACGAAGAGCTTGTCGCACGGTCTCTTTGATTATTTCAGGGCCAAGCTACGCGTTTCTGTTGCAGACACGACTTAGCTTGACGGGGGGTGTTAGATATGTTTAGATATACTCAAATCTTTGTATATCTTTAGTTGTTTTTTGTTTCCTTCTTTTTCGTATTGTACTCTATTTATTCGTACCCATGTATTCAGTTTAAGCAAGTGAGAATAAGATCTCTTTGATTATCACATTTATTTATTCGGATGAATTCATACACTTAATTTTATCACACTCTCGTTCTCTAATATTATAGAATTTATATCTCATATCATATAATAGGTTGATAGAAGATTAGGTAAATAATAATTTCCAATTAGAATATCTAGATAATTTAATTTAATTCTTGAAGTCACATATAATTATTTAATTTATTTTATATAAACATATAAATACTAAGTCGATGATCATAAAAGATGATCAACGTGATATACAAATATGAAAAAACAACAACACTTGAGAATGATATTAAGCTTTAAAAGATACTTATAATTTATATTACATATATATTTTTAAAAGTGGCAATAGACATGAATAAACTTAATCGACACCAAATATTGACACACAAGACAAAATATCAAAATTGACCCATAAATTTACAAAACATCAAAAATCCGTATATATAAATATGCAAAGTTTTCTAAGCATATTTGTCGATTTACGATACTTCTTAATCTTATGTGTCGATTTCTGGTGGTTCATAAACAGTCATATTTGTCAAATTCTGGTATATCGAAGTAGACCATGTTAACGTGTATTCATGTCTATTAAGAATCAAATTATGAATACATTTTACTATTTAATAACTTTTTTGTTTGTTATCATTTTTTCATCACATATAATATCAAATTAAATTTCTTTTTGATGATATTTTATTTACATCCATAATGAATATACAAAATAAAAGAACAGGTTTATTTTATGTAAATATAAATTAAATGAGCTACTAATATTTTTTTAAAAAGTATTTAATTTTTTAAAAATTTTATTTACATTTTCAAAATATTATCTTTAATTAATTAACACATACGTGAAACTCAAGAAATATTACACACAGATATATGCATACGTGCGTTAATTCTAATCATCTGAGGAAAACCAACTTGACCTTAGCCTCTTCTTTATAAATAGGGTACGTTGAATTCATTCTAGGGTTGTACCAAAAACACAAGAAAGAAAGAGAGAAAAANTATCAATTGTCAATCATGAGCAAAATCAGTAATGGATTTCGGTTCAGGCCAACAGACGACGAATGCATAGCGTATCTCCTGGGTTTCGTCACTGGGAATTCCCCTCCCTCCCACGGCTTCATCTCCATAGCCGACCTCTACGGCCAAACGGAGCCTTGGGACTTGTTCGAAAATTCCGAGGTTAAAAGCGGCGGCTGCCGTTACTTCTTCACCAAACTCAAGAAAGTCGGCGCCAAGAAGGGAAGAAGCTACCAGCGCTACTCGAGAAACGTCGGGGCCGGCGGGAATTGGTCCAACAAAGGCCAGAAATCCGACATCATCGGCCCCAAAGGCAACATCATCGGACACTCCAGAACCTTCCGCTACCAGCCGAGAAACTCTGACCACGTGGGCCCCACGCGCGGCGAGTGGGCCCTCAAGGAGTACTCTCTTCCCGAAGGCACAGTACTGGGACTTGACGAGGATCTGCGGGACTACGTTCTCTGCCTACTCAAGAAGAAAAAGGAGAAGAAAATAACAAGTACTGGCGTAGTCCAAGCCGTCGAAGCAGATTTTGACTATCTGGTTGCCACGCTGGCAGCCACGTCTTCAGATGACGTGGCGCCCGTCGAAACTAACGAGGTCATGTGGCCGACTTTGCACGCGTGGACTGGGGTTAATGATGTTGTGCCGAGTTTGACTTTGCCGGTGACAGGTGGCGAGGTCGTGTGGCCGTCGGTTATGGAGAGTTTGCCGACGACTCATCAGAACATGTGGACTGGGGTTAATGATGTCTTGCCACCTGAGAGCTGTTGGTCAAAAGATTTAAGGTTGCTGGCGGAATGTGTTGGTTTGGGAGAAGTTAATATTAATGAAGATTGTTCTCAGAACGAGCTGGCGACATGCGGTGAGGCTATGTGGCGGTCGATTAACGAGAGGTCGCCTCTGCACATGTGGAGCGGGGTTGGTGATGATGATCCGGTTTTGGAAGACGATTCTTTCGACTTGGATGACGTGGATAATTGGTTGCGGGAGAATGGGGTTCCACAGCCAGCCGGTATACTGATCGGTTGACAACTCTTGGACATTGTACTCTCTTGTTAGAAGCTTAATTATTTTCTCACAGCTTCCTGAATTCTGTTAAATGACATTCTTCTAATTATATATACAANCTTTGCATTATATTTTACATTGTACAAGCGGCGCTTATTAATTAATATCTACAACATTTCTTAAAATGGGTTTTTCTCGACTGAGCAACAGTAATTAGGCTCACCAATTTCGCTTTAACCGTGGGACATTTTGTTCAAAGTCCATTTGAAACAGTTCAATCACACATGCCACGACCCAAAATAGAGCACCTATGTCTTGTCAATATAATGCACATTAAACTAAACCAATAACAACATTTTTTTTTTACTGTAATTATTATAAATTTTTTTTAACATACATAACTACAAGACAGGACAACATGTAATTAAATCAACAAATAAAAATCATCATATACCAACATTCACCCAAAATCATACAAAAACCAAGTAAAAATTTTACAGCCAATGCAAGCACATGATTAATCCTTCTTGACTTGGTTTATCACACATGATATATTAATCTAATTTGGACGCCGGAAATAGAGCGGGACAGGATTAGGAGTCGGCAGCGGCGCGTCCCAAACGGAGAATGCGCTGGCGGAGTTCATCCACTTGCCACTCATCTCCTGGAAATGTCGGTCGAGCACATCTTTCAGACTTTCAGTTGTGTTCACCCATTCAAGGCCTTTCTTCGTGTACACATCTTCGTTGAAATCACTAGTGAAAAATCTATCTGCCTCCAATCTCCTGCTTAAATTTAACAATATAACAATTAACAATGTGAAATACCAAGGGAAAAACAACAAAAATGTATTTTTAGTTAGAAGTAATTACCCTGGCCCAGTCACAAAAATTAGATATTTGCAATTTTGAAATATTACTAGCTAGCTAGAACTACTATTATATTGGCAAATTAATTAGCAAAGTACGCTGGTAAATTTGGACATAAACAATTTAATCGAGCAACTTTTGTGATGATAGTTTGAATTGCGAAAATTCGATCCACATACGTTAGTCAACAAACATATTTATGTAATTTTTTGCAATTAGGTGACGATAATTTGTGTAATTTTTTTTCTTTAATATATTGTGCTCAAGTGACATTTTTTGGAATCAAACCTGGTTGCCATGAGAAGGAAAATGACAAAAGCGGTCTCGGAGATGGCAAACCCTGGGATCTTTTTCTCTGCGGTGAGGCCCACCATAGTATCGAGCTCCTCAACATCGTCACCGTACACGTGGCGGAGGGTATCGATAGCCTCTTCATCGTCCGTCAGATCTTCCCATTTGGCAATTGGGATCAGCATAAGGGACCTCCGGAAATGGTTGTACCTTGCCACGCTCCTCTCCCTGTCCCTGTAAACTGAAGCACATACGCTAGAAATTAATTAAATATTAGAATAAACATAAAAAATAAATAAATAAAACCTAAGCTCTGTTGTCCCCTCATCCGAGTTTTAAACCATTGGATGATCACACGCACTCACACACAGTCATCCAACGGTTAAGAACCCCATTGGCACAAATTTTCCTGTTATGACTTACTCTCTAGAGCAGGTAGGTCGATCGGATCGGGTCGATTTGTGCCGTTGAAATTTTGACTGATGAGATTCCTGAACCACAAGGGATAATTCCAAAGCTCAATGGCGCCACATGATTGGTGGCCCATTGACACCATCAACTTAGCTAACCCAATTTTAGATAAATTTTGTGTTCCTTGCTGACCAATCATCTCTTCCATGTCAATTCTGTAAATGTTCAATGATATTTTATTTGTTCAATCAAACTATTGACTCATATAATTCATTATTCAAGTCATCTATTAAAATCGAATCCAATAGTCTATCAATATAATCAACTATTAGCTAATTGTTTCAAAATTCACAAGGCAACATTATAAAATTTGCCCAATAAAAAAGAAAATTGACGAAAAATAGCTGCTAGCTAATTAACATGTTTGTGCAAAATGTTCACTTCCACAATTGCAAGAGTAATTAGATTGGAATGTCATTTAATCCAAATTAGTGACACATTTTGCAATTTTTACGCATTCAAAAAAAAGTTACTTGTTAGTCTCATCAATTTCAAATTCCAAAAGGATTAAAAAAGAAAAAGAAAAAAATTACTCTTTTTGTGGAGGAGGAGATTTGTTTGGTCCAGGTATCGCATCAATGTTTCTGAGGAGAAGTTTATCGGGTAAGAGCGTGTGCATTCGGTAAACACTGACAAACTCCTCGGTCAACGAATATGGGACGCCATGGTCAACGGGTTTGTTAGAACCCACGATACCACTTAACAATGTTAATCCAGTGTGCCCTATTGTGTCTTTGATTCTCTTCCCAAGCAATCCATACCTACATAATTAAATTTCAACAATTTATAATTAATTAGTTGCCTTCAAATATTTTTTTTATATAATCCCAGTTGGTACGTATACGTACCAATTGCCCCGCATCCCAGCAAGCAGCATGTCAGTTTTAAGAAGCTCCACCGTCCAATCAATGGTGTGGACTTTCGCAATCACTGCTGACGTTACTACCCTCGCGTGACGATACAGCTCCTCATCTTCCAATTCCGGGTATTCCTTCTGCAAAAATAATCACGATAAGGCCAAAATTACAGTTTGGTCCACTAATAGTATTTTATTGGAATTCGAAATTTGTCCAATTACTCTTCAATTTAAGTCAATTTCGATCTCGGACGCCGGAATCCAACAGTTATTTGATTTGAAATTGGTCAAATAACTATTAAATTTTAGAGTTATTGAATCATTTTGGACCAAATTGACTAAAATTTATGAGTTATTGGACCAACTTCAAACTCAATAAGTTAATGGGCAAAAATGAAAAGCACTCTAATTAATGTACTAAAACAGTAATTTTCCCATGTACATTATGTAGCTAGCTAAAACAAATTAATTTTACTAACATAACAAATGATGTGTACATATAATGAGTGTTTTTTATTTTATTTTATTTTTTTTGTGTATATATACCATTAATGCATCACATATTGCATTATGTTCCTTGACAAAGAGGGCCTGCAAAACCGAGAGACCAGCCCATATGTTACGAACATCGCCTGTTAATACGGTCCCGTTTGGATTAACGATGAGAAGTCCATCTTCTGAAATCTTGAGCTTTCCATCTTTGAATGTACGTACTTTCTGCATAGTTTCTTGGTCACTACCGTAGATTGCACTCCCGTCCCTTCACAAATAAAAAGATCATATAAAGTTTTATTAGAGCGGAAAAAATTAGAGATTTAGTCATATAACTGACACCAAATTGAGAAATAGTCCGCTGGTTGCGTTAATTGTACAATTGTAACTGCACAAAAAAATTGAATTTTTGTTTCCAACGGCAAAAGCCGATCAATTTGATCGACTGCTAAGTTGGATATGTTAGTCGGTTGCCACGTATACGAAAGAAAAACGAAAAATAATATCCACATCAGCAATCACCAGACTATTTCTCAATTGAACATCATTTAAAGAATTAAATCTCCAATTTTTTCCTCTTAGAGCATATTATTTTTTCATTATTCATTATGAATATATAACAAAAAATTATTCTCGTGTGAGGCAGTCTAGCCTTAGAAGACATGGATCAATCAATCATAGTATCTTAACAAAAACCGTATATTTATATCATCAAATGTCATACTTTCTAGTGTACCAAATGAATAATTAATCTTACCACCAAGGTGTTCGGCGGTTCAAAAACCCGGACTTGATCCCTTTGTCCCCATTTTTTATCTGAATCTCTTTGGACTTGTAGAATCTGAATGACTTTAGAGGGCACTGGCTCGCTACTTCTTCAGGTGCCCAGAGTTCAACCTGAGATATTAACGTTAATAAACTCTAAGTCTCAACATTTTGTATTACCATAATTATTAATTAATCCAAATTTACGTAGCCTAAAAGAACATCATTGATTTCAATTATATATATATACCACCTGAGTACTACTCTCGATATGATCGACCCAATCGTGTATCATAAATTGTATCCATGAAGCAGCTATCACGTTAAACTGTTTTCCCGTGTCGATTAGTTTTCTACGAGTCAATAGCTTTGTGGCCACCACCATAGGATCTGGCCTCATCACCTGCACAATTAATATTATTAGTGACCATTAGCAAAATCAAATTAATCATGCTTAACATAACCGGAAAAAAAAAAGAGAGAGAGAGAGAAAAAAAAGGATTTTTAGTCATGTTGATTTAACGTCATAGCAATTTTTGTTTCTAAGGTTCCAACTTTTCACCTTTTAACCCTATGATTTAATATTATCAAATTTTAAATAACAAGACTGAAAATGCAACAAAATTTTATACTATATAACTTAATTGCTAATAAAAAAATCTATAAATTTGGAAATTTATTGCAATAAAGTAAAATATTAAATTACAAGACCAAAAGGCGAAACGTTAAAATCTTGTGACTAAAAATGCTATGTCGTTAAACCAGCATGACTGAAAATGCAAATTAGCCAAAAAAAAAATTGTCGAAAAGAGATCAAACACGAAAAAACTCAATAATAACCTTGTGCGATTGAGGAACAGGAAGTATGTTTCGGCCGAAAAAGGAACCTTCATCACTAAAACGGGACGGGCCATCAAACCGGAGCTCCACAGGCTTTTTACCAACGTTAAACAAATTGTAGTTCTGGTGGAGGCGCTGGCGGAGAATTAGGTAAATTAGGCCCACGATAACTGGTAGCCTGTGCCATTTTCCAAGTTTGTCCACAGAATGAACAATCTGCATGCGAATAATTAATAATAACAGCTTATTCATTTTATCATCAAACTGCGCGCAAAAATATATACATCGAAAATAACAAATTACCAAGAAGATAAATTTGTCGATCAGAGTCATTGACTTGAAGACATCGTGGAAATCTTTGTGAATAACATTTAGTAAGGGTTTAAACAAGAAGTTTGTGAAGGATGTCATGATATGTAAAAGATGTGAAATCTGTTTAACAGAATGTTATAAAATCTCAACAATATGTATGATATATCCTTTATAATAAGCGATGGGAAGCCACATACATTGAAGGAAAGTACTTTAGAAAAATGAACTTGAGTACGTACAAGATGGACCAGTAAGATAATATAATGCGTGACCATAAATATTACTTTAATTGGCCAAGTTGAACTTTGAAATAACGTGGTGATTATCAAATGGTAGATTCCAGGTTGATAGAGAATTTCATCTACCATTCCACTTTCCTTCATGATATGACTTGTAGATTTTACTTTTTCAAGTTTCAACCAAAGGCCACGAATTTTTTATACATTTTGAACACTGATATTACCAAAAAATGTGCACCTTTTATATATTTAATAGTGTAATTTTATATATTTAATTTATTCGTTCATTTGGATATTTCGAATTATTTAATATTTGGATGAATTCGTTTATTTTGATTATTTTATATATATTTTCAATGTATCCAAGTATTTTATGGATGCAAAATATGGAACAAGAGCTTGAATACGCAATTAGCGGGATGCTACCTGTCACTATTTTCAGCGCAAACGAATATTTATGCCCAAGATTATAATTAATGTAGCAGGCCCATTTGGAGTTAATTATTTTCTCACATGGCCTACGTGGCACTATAACATTGGTGGTTGGCTCCATAGCATTTCTCTTGGAAATAAATGTAGGGAAGTCTAATGTAGCCAGTGGGACCCAGCAAAAGAGTTTGAGTTGTTGAAAGTTTGAGAGGGCCACGTTTTCTTCTGCTGGGGAGAGAAACTTGATTTATTTGGGACGTAGGAATTAATTAGGGGAGAGAGGATTTATTTGGGGAAAATAAATAAGCAGTCACAGAGGAAGAAATTATTCACGCAGAGGAGCTATTATTTTGACGAAAAAAAAAAGACGCACAGCAACAGCAGAAGGAAAAAGAAGAAAAAGGAAGAGAGACTGAGAACTCGATCAATCGCGGAGGGAGGCTGCAGCCGAGAAGGATAATTATATTCTTTTCTTTTTCTTTATATTTGTTATGTTAGAGTAATTTTTATTTCTAGTTCCGAATAAATTGAACCTACGACATGACGATTTTTAATTAATTTTCGTGGTTAGTAATTACATAAAGATGGTGAAACTTGACGTCACTATTAGTTAGACTAGTCGAGCTAGGACATAGATGGAACTGTGAACTAGCATACGCATACGCATGCATTTTCGTTGAAAAGTATGACGGGTCAACCCACAAACGGTTAGGTTGCCCCACACAAAAATTGGCATTTTTTTTTAAACATTTGGGAGTGATGAACCCCACAATTTTAAATTTTCAACTCAAATCACACGACACGCCAAGAGATTATCATCAGTAATGACACGCCAAGAGATTATCATCGTAATGAAGAAAGTGATGCATAAACAACCCATGTAATGTAACTATCAAGATGTATGCCATTTTTATTTTTATCTGAGTTGAGCTTTAAGTGAAAGCAATCACATTAGATTCACATATTCAGCAAAAACAGAGAATCAAACAGAGTGATAAAATACAACTGACTCGAAATTTCCCACCCTTAAATGATTCAAAATCATAATACCAATTCATAATGGTAGTAAGGAAAACACAAGACCTCAACATAAAATGAACTAATCACAATCAACAACATAAAACAGAAAATACCTCTCTCAGAACAAAATCAAACACCTTATGCTCAACAACGATCACATACATAAAAATCCGAACTTTCATGAAAAGAAAAAAATTACGCCAAAATTAACCATCAAAACTCAATAATATCACCTGCATGAGAAGCTTTCGGGTAGCCATCGTACTCCAATTTCACATTCAGACTGGCGCAGATAGCCCTAAATTTGAGCCTCAGGGAGTCCATCATATCCGAGACTGTCTCATTTTCCGGCTCCAAAATGGGGTACTTCTCGAGCAGCTCATCCATCTGCTTGATCATCCGCTGGATTCGGGCCGAGACGAATTCTGGGTCGAACCGAACCGCAGAGCTCCAGATAACCACGCAGCCTCTGTAGAAGCCCAATTCTTCGCGGACCTCGAACCCGGTCTTGAGGCCCACTTGCTGGCCCTCTTCCTTGCCGGCGATTAGACCGTCCGCGTGGCCCTCGCCGTAACCCTCTTTGAAATGGGTCTCCTCCAAGTTCAAAGAAGACGCAAAGATGTCTTCTATGCCGCCGTCCATTAAAAAAATTACCAATGCTTCACATTGGTTTGAGTTTGAGCCTTTGAGGTGATCATCGGCCAAATACGAGCTTCGATCTACTCAATTAATTTGTAGCCCTAGTTGGGCCTATTGGGCAACTTATGTAACTCACAATAAGCTTTTCTGTTTAATTTAAGCCCAAGTTCGGCCTAGACTCCTTAATCTTTTTAGAACTTTAACTTATAAAACGTGTTTAGTGGAAAATAGGTACTAATACTTCATTAATAAAAGTGATCAAAATTAATTAGAAACATAACAATTGATAGGTTGAAACATGTTCACAATTTATATATTTAATAATATATTTGTATACTTAATTTTATCAAACTTTCATATGTATTTATTTATTCGGATGAATTCATACACTTAATTTTATCACACTCTCGTTCTCTAATATTATAGAATTTATAACTCATATCATATACTAGGTTGATAGAAGATTAGATAAATACTAATTTATTTATTTCCAATTTAAATATCTAGATAATTTAATTTAATTCTTAAAGTCACATATAATTATTTAATTTATTTTATATAAACATATAAATACTAAGTCGATGATCATAAAAAGATGATCAACGTGATATACAAATATGAAAAATCAACAACACTTGAGAACGTTATTAAGCTTTAAAATATACTTATAATTTATATTATATATACATTTTTAAAAGTGGTAATAGACATGAATAAACTTATTCGACACCAAATATTGAAACACAAGACAAAATATCGAAATTGACCCATAAATTTACAAAACGTCAGAAATCCGTACATATAAATATGCAAAGTTTTCTAAGCTTATTTGTCGATCTATGATACTTCTTAATCTTATGTGTCGATTTCTGGTGGTTCATAAATAGTCATATTTGTTCTGGTATTTCGAAGTAGACCATGTCAACGTTTATTCATGTCTATTAAGAATCAAAAACTTTTGAATATATTTTAAAATTTAATAACTTTTTTGATTGTTATCATTTTTTCATCACATATAAAAATCAAATTAAATTTCCTTTTGATGATATTTCATTTACATCCATAATGAATATACAAAATAAAAAACATATTTATTTTATGTAAATATAAATAAATGAGCTACTAATATTTTTTAAAAAGTATTAAATTTTTTTTAAAATTTTATTTACATTTTAAATATAATATCTTTAATTAATTAACACATACGTGAAACTCAAGAAAAATTACACACACATATATGCGTGCGTGCGTTAATTCTAAGCATATGAGGAAAACCAACTTGACCTTAGCCTCTTCCTTATAAATAGGGCACGTAGTATCCATTCTAGGGTTATACCAAAAACACAAGAAAGAAAGAGAGAAAAAACGTCGTAATTTAATTACATGACGACACTTTTGTATAAAACGTCGTAATTTAATTATATTTTTAAATAAATGTCATAATATTGGTTAATATGGTGACCTAAAACGTCGTAATTTAATTGCACTTTTAAATAAATGTCACAATATTGGTTAACACGGTGACACTTTTTAAAAAGTGACACGATTTGATTATATTTTTTAAAAAAAAGTATTGTTATAATTTTATATTTGTAACGCATTTTAAAAAACGTCATAAACACTTCAAAGACAAAGGAGAAATCCGTAAATGTTCAATGATATTTTATATATACGTAAATCCTCCATGTCAATTCTGTAAATGTTCAATGATATTTTTAGTTGTTAAATCAAACTATTAATTCATATGATTCAAGTCATCTATCAAAATCGAATCTAATAGCCATATCAATATAATTAACTATTAGCTAATTGTTTTAAAATTCGACACCAAATATTGACACACAGGACAAAATATCAAAATTGACCAATAAATTCACAAAATGTTAACTATTAGCTAATTATTTCAAAATTCGACACCAAATATTGACACACAGGACAAAATATCAAAATTGACCAATAAATTCACAAATCTCATAAATCCGTATATATAAATATGCAAAGTTTCCTAAGCTTATTTGTCGATTTACGATACTTCTTAATTTTATGTGTCGACATCTGGTGGTTCATAAATAGTCATATTTGTCGAATTTTGGTATTTCGAAGTAGACCATGTCAACGTGTATTCATGTCTATTAAGAGTCAAATTATGAATATATTTTACTATTTAATAACTTTTTTGTTTGTTATCATTTTTTCTATCACATATAAAAATCAAATTAAGTTTCTTTTTGATGATATTTTATTTACATCCATAATGAATACACAAAATAAAAAATATATTTATTTTATGTAAATACAAATTAAATGAGCTACTAATATTTTTTTTAGAAGTATTTAATTTTTTTAAAATTTTATTTACATTGTATAAATATATTATCTTTAATTAATTAACACATACGTGAAACTCAAGAAATATTACACGCACATATATGTGTGTGCGCGTTAATTCTAATCATATGAGGAAAACCAACTTGATCTTAGCCTCTTCCTTATAAATAGGGTACGTAGTATTCATTCTAGGGTTATACCAAAAAACAGAAGAAAGAAAGAAAGAAAGAAAGAAAAAAAAAAAAGCGTATCAATTATCGATCATGGGCAGAATCAGTAATGGTTTTCGTTTCAGGCCGACAGACGATGAATGCATAGCCTATCTCCAGGGTTTCGTCACTGGGAATTCCCCTCCCTTCCACGGCTTCATCTCCATAGCCGACCTCTACGGCCAAACGGAGCCTTGGGACCTGTTCGAAAATTCCAAGGTTAAAAGCGGCGGCTGCCGTTACTTCTTCACCAAACTCAAGAAAGTCGGCGCCAAGAAGGGAAGAAGCTACCAGCGCTACTCGAGAAACGTCGGGGCCGGCGGGAATTGGTCCAACAAAGGCCAGAAATCCGACATCATCGGCCCCAAGGGAAACATCATCGGACACTCCAGAACCTTCCGCTACCAGGCGAGAAACTCTGACCACGTGGGCCCCACGCGCGGTGAGTGGGTCCTCAAGGAGTACTCCCTTCCCGAGGGCACAGCACTGGGACTTGACGAGGATCTGCGGGACTACGTTCTCTGCCTACTCAAGAAGAAAAAGGAGAAGGAAAAAACAAGTACTGGCGTTGTCCAAGCCGTCGAAGCAGATTTTGACTATCTGGTTGCCACGCTGGCAGCCCCGTCTCCAGATAGACGGCTACCGGTCGAGGATGACGTGGCGCCCGTCGAAACTAACGAGGTCATGTGGCCGACGACTCATCAGAACATGTGGACTGGGGTTAATGATGTCATGCCACCTGAGAGCTGTTGGTCACAAGATTTAAGGTTGCTGGCGGAATGTGTTGGTTTCGGAGAAGTTAATATTAATGAAGATTGTTCTGAGAATGAGCTGGCGACAGGCGGTGAGGCCATGTGGCGGTCGATTAACGAGAGGTCGCCTCTGCACATGTGGAGCGGGGTTGGTGATGATATAGTATTGGGTGATGATGATCCGGTTTTGGAAGACGATCCTTATGAGTTTGTGGATAAATTTTTGCGTGCTAATTGGATTCCACAGCCAGCCGTACACTGATCGGTTGACACCTTGGATTTTGTACTCTCTTGTTAGAAGCCAGCTTTCCCAATTCTGCTATCACATTCTTCTTATAGAAGCTAATTAATTATTTTGACATTCTTTTTGTAGAAGCTTATTATTTTCTCACAGCTTGCTGAATTCTGCTAGATGACATTCTTCTTATTCTTTGGTGCCTTATAAATTGTTTTTGAAGAATACTAGCAAGCATACTTATAGTACTTCCAGTTATTCCGCAGTCAGGTTAATTTAATTAATGGAAATTAAAACAAACTAGGTGGGCATGTAGCTCATACAAATATAATATAATGATGAAAAAATGACAAAATCTCCTACATATATAACATATTATGTTTGAAATCAATTATTGAATAACCTTTGCATTAAATTTTACATTTGTACCAAGTAGCATTATTAATTTCTACAACATTTCTTAAAATGGATTCTTCTCGGTTGAGCAAAGTAATTAGGCATACCAATTCAGCATTAACCTTGTGACTTTGGCCTAGATTTCATTCAAAGTTCATTTCAAATAGTTCAATCACATGCCACGGCCCAAAAAGAGAGCACCTTTTTAGTGGCGATAATGTTTGCCACTATATGTTTTAATGTCGTCACAGTATCATTTTGTGTCAACAGTATAAGCCGTTGCTAGGTCGTGGGTATAAATACTGTGGCTAAAGGTTTTAGCGACGACTACCATAATCATCACTATATCTAAATTTTTAGTCACATTAAGTATCTGTCACTAAAATTCAATTTTTTGTCACATACGTTGCTCGTAACTATAAATCGATATTATAGTGACAAATTAGTTTGTCACTACATTTGAACCATTTAGTGATCAATGTCACTTGAACACAATATCTTTTCCCCCTCCAATATGAATTCCATATATTCCGGAAACTCCACATTTGCAATTCAGCAAGATAATCACAAATAGTTTACATTCATTCAATTTCCATAAATCACCAATATTCAAATTGCACAACAAAAATGCAGTTTTATTTAATAGCATATACACAAACACTCATAGATCCATGACCCAATACTATACTATCAATCCTACACTTCAACAAAACAAATATGCCAATGATGTTGTGAAACAAAGTTTAAAATCAATCTCCATTCAAAAACTCTTGTCCAGCAACTATTTAGCCCTCCACCGCTCCAGTTTCATCCAAAACAGCCTATGCAAGTACAAGATCAAAACATTATTAGAACTTGAAGTAATAATGACAACTTAAAAAAAAAGAAAAAAAAGAAAAAAAAAAACAAATTGACATGACTTGAGGACTTCAACCAAGATTTCTTCAACACGGCCTGAATGATCTAATTTCTTAAAAATAAACAACTAGTAAGCTTTTTGTAATTAACTAACCTATTTAAAAACAGGTATACAACACAAGAGCAAAAACGAGCGTATGCATGTTAATAGTATATTAGCATATAAAACTATATCAATAACACATTTTCTAAAAGAGGCACCAAATTCTAAAACCATATTTCACTTCTCAAACATAAATGAAAATGTAGGAAAGAAGTTACGAAAAATTTATCACATTTGGTCAGCTCTAATTCGTTAAAGGTGTTTGAGGAATAAAAAAGTTAAAAAGAAGCAACTTTGACTCCTGTAAATTCAAATATGCCTCTTGGGGAGTTATATGATCTACATCTCAAATGGACAAAGGCAGATTAAGTCTCATACCTGCCTCACTCAAATAAGGAACATTTGTTACCTCTATTGGGTATCAAAACACAATGATAAATCATGGTTACAAAAACATTAGCACAATAATCACAAACTCTAGCAGAGAATATTAGTAAGTAAAAGAACTAACTTTCACATTCTTTAACATAAGGCCGTAGTTGTTTAATTCTTCACTATACAAAGACAAAATATGATGAATTATAAATGAACTTACCTCCTTTACATCTTCCAAGCTAGAGTAATCTTTGTTCAGTAAAGCCTTTGCCCTTGTTGCATTTGAGCTGAAAGCAAAGACTACACAACTTCATATGTAAGCATAAGTTATATAATGTCTTTAAGAAAAGCAGTACTAGTCTATGAGGTGCTTTATTATTTCGGCTTTTGAAAATAAAAACAAATCAAAATGAAATGCCAAAACTAACATAATCAAAAGGAGTAGTATTCTATGGATTGCTTTATTACTTCAGTTTTTCAAAATAAAAACGATCAAAATGAAATACCAAAACCAACATAATCAGACCACACAAATCATAGCATATTCAATCACAAGAACCATCTAGTTTTTTCAACTAGAAAGGCCACTTTAACAAAATAGAAACTCCTACATAAAACTTGTCACTGGACCTTCTTCTCTTCCTACCATCATCTTCAATCAAACATTCCAACTGGCTCTCAAACTCATCATAAAAAAGGAGCAACAACATGACTTTTGATAATTTTTAATCCACCAATTAAGCCAATATCACAAAAAAAAAGTCTCATTTTTCTTACTAATTTATCATTCTCTCTACATACTAGTATGACTATGCCTCTCAACAAATAATTTTTTTTATCAATTTTATGCATAAAAATTAATTGATTCACCTTAGCAATCCTCAGTTTTTCGTTGTCAATATACAAACTTAAAAACTAGCACAATATCTACATATAAGTGCTCTTTGGCTAGATTTCAAACGGTCATGCACCTCAAATCAAAAAGATGGCAATAACAGAGCAATGAGGGGATAAAGTACACATGAAAAATAAGCATTAGAAATTGAAATAGATCATAATTTTGAGAAAAATCGACCAACTAATTACAAATAAATAAAGAGATAAATAACTTGACGTAATCCCTAAATAGATTCTCAGTCTCTAGAAAAATTGAAAGAAACCCTAACAAGGACTCGTGATCAAATGGGAAAAAAAACTCGTAGTAACTCACGGGAATTTCCTCCATCTCCTTCTGAAGGCTCGGCGAAGTTCCTGTGATATAAATCAACGAGGGCGTCGGAGTTCAACTCGTGGATGGCGCAGATCTGATGAGACTTGGCCACTGCCCTTAACGCAGATGACCATGTCCATGGAGGCGAGGCGGTGGAAGAATTCACATTCCGTATGGCTGGAGCAAGGGACGAACTCGGATTGCACCGTCGGGATTACGGTAGTCTTGGTTTTTTTCTCCAGCTGAAGGCCTGCATTTCGATCTCACGCTCATTTTGTTTAGAAACCAACATTTTTCACCAATTCTATTTTATGTTGGAAACCAATCTTTTTCAACAATTCATTTTTGATACAATGCTGAAAAAATTCTTATTACTATTTTTTATAAATTAATAGTGATGATATTTTTTTGCTGCTAATTATGTTACATTTTTTCTGAATATTTGTTATACTATTAATGATGACTTCATAAATCGTCACGGTTACAAATGACGTTAGCGACGATTCTTATTTCTCTACGATGATATGCGCTAAAAAAAACAATTAGTGACAAAGAATAGTGTCGAAAAATAAAGTTGTCACTAATAACTATTCGTTCAATAGTTTTATGACATTAAAAAATATTGTCACTATACATGTGGTTATAGTTATGATATTAATGTCGTCACTAAAATTATTGTTACTAATAATGAATATTCTTGTAGTGAAATTGTCAAACACAACGAGATTTTTGCATATTTGTTTTTCTATTTTTTATGTTTTATTTTATTTTGAAAAAAAGGGTGAACAATGAAAATTTGGCTCANATTACAAGACAGAACAACATGCTTTTTCCAAAATCTAACAAATTAAAAATCATCATATAACAACATTCACCCCAAAATCATACAAAAACCAAGTAAATTTTACAGCCAATGCAAGCACATGATTAATCCTTCTTGACTAATTTTATCACGCATGATAAATTAATCTAATTTGGACGCCGGAAATAGAGCGGGACAGGATTAGGTGTCGGCAGTGGCGCGTCCCAAACGGAGAATGCGCTGGTGGAGTTCATCCACTTGCCACTCATCTCCGGGAAATGTCGATCGAGCACATCTTTCAGGCTTTCAGTTGTGTTCACCCATTCAAGGCCTTTCTTCGTGTACACATCTTCGTTGAAATCACTAGTGAAAAATCGATCTGCCTCCAATCTCCTGTTCAAATTAACAATATAACAATTAATGTGAAATACCAAGGGAATAACAACAAAAATGTGTTATTATTTATTAATTAGAAGTAATATACCATTGCCTAGTCACAAAAATTAGATATTTGCAATTTAGAAACATTACTAACTAGCTAAAATTACTATTATACTGGCAAATTAGCAAAGTACGCTAGTAAATTTGGACATAAACAATTTTATCGAGCAACTTTTGTGATTGCAGATAGTTTATATTGCAAAAATTCGACCCAAATACGTCAATCAACAAACATATTTATGTATTTTTTGGCAATTAGGTCACGAAAGTTTTTGTAATTTATTTTCTTTAGTATATTGTGCTCAAGTGACATTATTTGGAATCAAACCTGGTTGCCATGAGAAGAAAAATGACGAAAGCGGTCTCGGAGATGGCAAACCCTGGGATCTTCTTCTCTGCGGTGAGGCCCACCATAGTATCGAGCTCCTCAACATCGTCACCGTACACGTGGCGGAGGGTATCGATAGCCTGTTCATCGTCCGTCAGGTCTTCCCATTTGGCAATTGGGATCAGCATAAGGGACCTCCGAAAATGGTTGTACCTTGCCACGCTCCTCTCCCTGTCCCTGTAAACTGGAGCACGTACGCTAGAAATTAATTAAATATTAAAATAAACATAAAAAAGAAATAAATAAAATATGAACTTTGTTATCCCCTCATCCGAGTTTTAAACCGTCGGATGATCACATGCACTCACAAACAGTCATCCAATGGTTAAGAACCCATTGGCACAAATTTTCGTGTTATGACTTACTCTCTAGAGCAGGTAGGTCGATCGGGTCAGGTCGATCAGTGCCGTCGATATTTTGACTGATGAGATTCCTGAACCACAAGGGATAATTCCAAAGCTCAATGGCGCCACATGATTGGTGGCCCATTGACACCATCAGCTTAGCTAACCCAATTTTAGATAAATTTTGTGTTCCTTGCTGACCAATCATCTCCTCCATGTCAATTCTGTAAACGTTCAATGATATTTAATTTATTTGTTAAATCAAACTATTAACTCATATAATTCGTAATTCAAGTCATCTATTAAAATCGAATCCAATAGTCATATCAATATAATCAACTATTAGCTAATTGTTTCAAAATTCACAAGGCAACATTATAAAATTTGCCCAATAAAAAAAGAAAATTGACGAAAAATAGTCGCTAACCAATAATTAACATGTTTTTTTTGTGCAAAATGTTCATGGTTTAATTAATGAATGACATTTTCAACAATTGCAAAAGTCATTAGATTGGATTGCCATTTAATCAAAATTAGTGACACATTTTGCAATTTTTACGCATTCAAAACATGTTTAGTCTCATCAAGTTCAAATTTCAAATGGATTAAAAAAATTACTCTTTTTGTGGAGGAGGAGATTTGTTTGGTCCAGGTAGAGCATCAATGTTTCTGAGGAGAAGTTTATCGGGTAAGAGCGTGTGCATTCGGTAAACACTGACAAACTCCTCGGTCAACGAATATGGGACGCCATGGTCAACGGGTTTGTTAGAACCCACGATACCACTTAACAATGTTACTCCAGTGTGCCCTATTGTGTCTTTGATTTTCTTCCCAAGCAATCCATACCTACATAATTAAATTTCAACAATTTATAATTAATTAATTGCCTTCAAATATTTTTTTTATATAATCCCAATTGGTACGTATACGTACCAATTGCCCCGCATCCCAGCAAGCAACATGTCAGTTTTAAGAAGCTCCACCGTCCAATCAATGGTGTGGACTTTCGCAATCACTGCTGACGTCACTACCCTCGCATGACGATACAGCTCCTCGTCTTCCAAATTTGGGTATTCCTTCTGCAAAAATAATCACGATGAGGCCAAAATTATAATTTAGGTCCACTAATTGTAATTTATTGGAATTCTAAATTTGTCCAATAACACTTCAATTTAAGTCAATTTGATCCAATTTCGATATTGGACATCGGAATCCAACAGTTATTTGATTCGAAATTGGTCAAATAACTCTTAAATTTAAGAGTTATTGAATCATTTTGACCCAAATTGACCAAAATTTATGAGTTATTAGACCAACTTTCAAACTCAATACCTTAATGGGCACAAATGAAAAGCACTCTAATTAGTGTACTAAAACTGGAATTTTCCCATATGCATTAGCTAGCTAGAACAAATTAATTTTACTAACGTAACAAATGATGTGTATATATACCATTAATGCGTCACATATTGCATTATGTTCCTTGACAAAGAGGGCTTGCAAAACCGAGAGACCAGCCCATATGTTACGAACATCGCCTGTTAATACGGTCCCGTTTGGATTAACGATGAGAAGTCCATCTTCTGAAATCTTGAGCTTTCCATCTTTGAATGTACGTACTTTCTGCATAGTTTCTTGGTCACTGCCGTAGATTGCACTCCCGTCCCTTCACAAATAAAACGATCATATAAAGTTTTAGAGCGAAAAAAATTAGAGATTTAGTCATATAACTAATACCAAATTCAGAAATAGTCCGGTAGAATACCCTGTAATTGCATAAAAAAATTGATTTTTTGGTTCCACAGGCAAAAGCCGATCAATTTGACCGACTGTTGAGTTGGATATGTCAGTCGATCGGTTGCCACATATATGAAAGAAAAATAAAAAATAATATCCACATCAGCAACCTGTCACAGAGACCGGCCTTTATCGGTGGACAGATCAAAAGTCAGATGTTTTGTAAAGCCAACGCAATCACGAGACTATTTCTCAATTGGATGTCAGTTAAAGAATTAAATCTCCAATCTTTTCCTCTTAGACCATATTATTTTTTCATTATTCATTATGAATATATATATAACACAAAATTATTCTAGTGTGAGGCAGTCTAGCTTTTAGAAGATATGGATCAATCAGTCATATTATCTTAACAAAAACCGTATATTTATATCGTCAAATGTCATACTTTCTAGTGTACCAAATGAATAATTAATCTTACCACCATGGTGTTCGGCGGTTCAAAAACCCGGACTTGATCCCATTGTCCCCATTTTTGATCTGAATCTCTTTGGACTTGTAGAATTTGAATGACTTTAGAGGGCACTGGCTCGCTACTTCTTCAGGTGCCAAGAGTTCAACCTGAGATATTGACATTAATAAACTCTAAGTCTCAACATTTTGTATTACCATAATTATTAATTAATCCAAATTTACGTAGCCTAAAAGAACATCATTGATTTCAATTATATATATATACCACCTGAGTACTACTCTCGATATGATCGACCCAATCGTGTATCATAAATTGTATCCATGAAGCAGCTATCACGTTAAACTGTTTTCCCGTGTCAATTAGTTTTCTACGAGCCAATAGCTTTGTTGCCACCACCATAGGATCTGGCCTCATCACCTGCACAAATATTATTAGTGACCATTAGCAAAATCAAATTAAGGAAAAATTGCACCATTCGTCTACTAATTATACTCGAGTTGCACTTTCGTCCTTTAATTATTATTTTTTTACTTTTGGTACACTATCATTTTTTTTTTTGCAATTTTCGTCCAAATCGAGGTTTCGGTGCTCATTTTTGCCGAAAAAGCTGATGTAGCACCAGAAAAGCTGATGTGGCGCACAATCCGACTGGGCGCCACATCAGCTTTCCGGCAAAAATGAGCACCGGAACCTCGATTTGGACGAAAATTGCCAAAAAAAAATGATAGTGTACCAAAAGTAAAAAAATAATAATTAAAGGACGAAAGTGCAACTCGGGTATAATTAGTGGATGAATGGTGCAATTTTTCCTCAAATTAATCATGTGACTAAAATGTTATGACGTTAAATATGAAATTACAAAACCAAAAGGCGAAACGTTAGAATCTTGTGACTAAAATGTTATGGCGTTAAACCAGCATGACTGAAAATGCAGTTTAGCCAAAAAAAAAAAAAAATTGTCAGAAAAGAGATCAAACACGAAAAAAACACAATAATAACCTTGTTCGATTGAGGAACAGGAAGTATGTTTCGGCCAAAAAAGGAACCTTCCTCACTAAGACGGGCCGGGCCATCAGACCGGAGCTCCACGGGCTTTTTACCGACGTTAAACAAATTGTAGTTCTGGTGGAGCCGCCGGCGGAGAATTAGGTAAATTAGCCCCACGATAACCGGTAGCCGGTGCCATTTTCCGAGTTTGTCCACAGAATGAACAATCTGCATGCGAATATATAATTAATAATAACAGCTTAATCATTTTATCCTCAAACGCCGCGAAAAAATATATACATTAAAAATAATAAATTACCAAGAAGATAAATTTGTCGATCAGAGTCATCGACTTAAAGACATCGTGGAAATCTTTGTGAATAACATTTAGTAAGGGTTTAAACAAGAAGTTTGTGAAGGATGTCATGATGATATGTAAAAGATGTGAAATCTGTTTAACAGTTGCATATAAAATCTCAATAACATGTATGATATATCCTTTTATAATAAGCGATGGGAAGCCACGTGAATTGAAGGAAAGTACTTAGAAAAATAAACGTTGAGTATGTACAAAATGGACCAGTAAGATAATATAATGCGTGACAGTAAATTTATAATACTTTAATTGGCCAAGTTGAACTTTAAATTTTAAAATAACGTGGTGATGATCAAATGGTAGGTTCCATGTTTGAGATAGAGATTTCATCTACCATTCCACATAGTACTTATTTGAACGATATATGTATGTGTAAATATATAGATAATGGATAAAATAATGAAACATCAGTTTGGAATAGAAGTTATAATACATAAATTACATGTTAGCTATGAAGTATGGTTACTAGCTAGCGATAGAATTCATATTTTTTCAATAAATATGTATATTTTTAAAATAAAATATTACACTTAAAAAATAATATTTTATAACATAAGTAAGTAGAGAAAAAGTCCACTTTTTACTTTGTTAATAATTAATATAAGAAAAGAAGAAGAAAAATGAGCCTGGAAGGCTTTAGAAGATAGAACCATTCTTTGATATTATACTGGGAAAATCCAGCTGGAATTGCCTGAATATGAAATGAAAAGGAGGACTATTATTGAGCCGTCACGTTGCTCAGCAATAAGTACTTTAACTAGGGGTGTTCACGGTCGAGTTTTAACCGGAAAAAACCGTCAATCTGGACCGTGGATCGATTAAATGGTCAGTTAAAAAAGCCTTAAAAAATCCGATGGTTAATTTTTTTAAAAATCCGGAATAACCGGTCCGGTTAACGGATTACCTGCGGCAAACCGCCGGTTTAACCGGACCGGACCGGTAAATATTAAAAAACTATAACAAATATATATATACATTCAGTCATTCACTATGACCGATAAATACAATACATTCACTATGAATGCTTTGCTCTTATTATTTCAGGTGTATAAACTGACTAAAAAATGAATGTTTGCTTGAGTTCAGTTTGCATAATTAATCTTCATCATTTTTGTATTTTTATGTTTATGGGAGGAAATGTGCATTTTTATGCTTATGAGACGAATTGTGTACTTTTTATTTCATTATTGTTGTTTTTCTTAATTTTTAAGCCCAAATAATCTCTTTAGGACCCAAAATTGAAAAACAAAAATTAAGCCCAAAATAAAAAAAATAAAAATTGAAAGCCCAAAACAAGTTTTGGATTTAACCGGTTAACCGCCAAACCGGACCGTCCAATGCGGTCCAGATTGTGGTCGGTTAAAAGATAAAACCGGTCCGGTTATGGACAAGAAAAAAAAATTAACCGTTAGGTCCGATTTGGTCATGGTTTGAGCTAAAACCGGACCAATCCGGACCGTGAACACCCCTAACTTTAACTAGTATTTTTTTCTGAGATTGCAATATATATATTGATTAGTGCAATGCATTATTGAATTTTGTATCGTTTATTATTACAACCGTACAAATAATTAATTTTTTAATCGTTCGACACTGGGTGAACACTATTATTTTTATGCTCCATGAGGACACTGACAAGTTGACTGATTTTTGCTTTGTATTGGATAAAGTTTTCCACACCATTACTCATTACATTGGTAATGTAGGTATATTCATTTTATTTATTTATTTTTTCTTTAAAAAAGTCATGTAAAACGTAAAAACAATATCAACTTGTACACAAATATTCACATTAATGCTCCAATTTTGAATACTATTCATATATATGCTCCGACCAAAATTGACCGGCTTTTGCTGGAATAAGAGTTCAACATCACTATTTAGGGAATTAATCAATCAATAAAGTACTCGAGAAAAATATTTTACTAATGTTTGTGCAAAATTAATGGTCCCAGAGCATATTAATATATGTGGGGTGCCCCAATTTCTTTCTTTCTCTATTGAACTATGTATTGTTTCAAAATTATATTGGTAAATTGAAAATTTAATTATTCAAATTAATTATAAACAATCTACTTGTATTAACACCTTAGAAGACGTATAATATTGTAAAATTAAAGCATAAGCTAAATATATATATATATATATATATATAGGGGCTGGTTCAAATAAAAAAAACTATGTCTGGTGTGAGAACCGTGAGAACCATATTTGATGCTATTTTTAATTGTGTATGATGTTATTTTTATATTACATGGTACTATCATTTTCATAAATGCTAATAAAAATTTTGTTGCTATTTTTAATCAAATATATCCTAGTTAAAATTAGCACTAAAACACAATTAATCATAGCACTACATACAATTAAAAATAGCGGTTCTCACGGTTCTCACGCTAGGACTTGTTCTCATTTGAACCACATCCTATATATATATATATATAATTTGACATCTCGAAGAGGTGTAATTTTTCAATCAATTCCTTGACGGTTCTATTCCAATAGTTCAAAACGAAAATGTCAAAACACATTGTAAAGTCCCTAATTTACGTCAAGAGAATTGTATAATTAATTATGTGAAAAATATAAGTGTTGTTAATTCCCTTGTGCAAGGCATCGAACGTCAAAGTCACCATAATTAATAGCGTGTTAATGTTACCCTATAATTCTCCCACACGTAATTGTCAATAACCCATAAGTCAATATTACAAAATATGTCGAATTAACAATTTTAGACTTTTATAACTAAAGAAAATGACTACTGGCTATTCCAAATTCAAATCGTGAATATTTTATCCGAAATTATTAAACAGGGAACAAGAAATTAAAATGTTAATTACAATTTACAAATCAATTACACATCCTTCATCAAAGACTCATAGTATTCATTAAAATTATAAATGAGGTAACCTAATTGTTAGTCAAAGTCGATCCGTTATATTTTTTTTTTACGAAAAAATACATACCCATGTTATGAAATGTCATACTTTAGCTTATATTGTTTTTTTAAAGTATAACATTTCAATTTAAAAGTATAAATATTTACTAGTATCATAATCTACTTAACAACAGAATTACCACAATCATAATTATAATTAATGTCCATTATTCCAAAAGTGGTGCAGATGAGCTTGCATATGGCGATGACTCCAAATCTTCAGAACTTTCATGTTTATTATCTCCATTTTCTTCTTTCGCCTTCCCCCAAATCACAGTGTAAAAACCCGCAGATATAATTATGGATCCCAATATACTACAATTAATCAATAATAAACAGGAAATAATAAGTCCAATTAATCATAAAAAGTATAATAATCAAGCCGTCATGATTCCCTATACCAGCAGTCTTAATAAAATTAGAATATAAAAGTAATTTTTTTTTAACTCACACAATTTTTTTTTTCATAAAACTAAATTCCAAGAATAATTTTTAATTCATTCAAAATATTGAAGATTTGTAATTACCAGCCAAGGTGAAGTGTATCACCAAGTAGAATTAGTCCCATGATAGCTGCAATTGCAATAGACATAGGCAAAAATAGTGCAACATAGACGGGGCCCTTAACGTGTAATCCCCAAGAGTGTATGAGAATAGTGAGTCCAGTTCCTAGTGTTCCCTGTTAAATTCGACCAAATTCAAGAATATTTTTTGATAAAAAAATAATCCAATTCTTAACATAAAATTTTGTTGGAACGTGTCAATTTCTAACCAAAATTCGAATTTCTAGCATAATTGTTCCCAATTTGACCGATCGAGTTTGAAATTATTGGAGTACAATTAACTAATTATATTCCAATAAAACTATTAATTAATTCAAGAACAATTTTGATCAAAAATCTGAATTTTAGCAGAAAAAATTTATGGACCATGTGGGGCATGTCAATTTCTAACCAAATTCTTCCCAAAATGACTAATAAAATACAGTAAAACTATTTTTGTTATTCCATTTATAATTAGAGTCATCATGCTATGCTATCAGAATGATTTACAGGTTATAAGGTTATTGAAAAGGTTATTGAAAATATAAGCATCTATTTCTTTTTTCATTATAACATTATCAAAATTAACAATTCAAATTTTATCGAAATTTTGGTAAACCAATTAATTAGATTAAATTAGTCTCACCGCATATAATATGGAAATCAGGCGCACATCGGGCTTCACTTTCCATGCATCAAAATTTTGCTCCCTAAATAGACAATCAACAAGTGACATGGCACAACAAGTCACATTGTAGAAAAAGACCAACACAAATTCTGCTGGGTATTTCTTGATAACTTTGGCCTGCACAATTTTTGTTTAGAAGAAAAGTAAAATAAGAAAAATAAAAAAGGGGTTGCAAATTGCAATTTGATAATTTATATATTGAAGTAAATGGAATTAATTTGAAACTCCAGGTGTATTTTTGTAATTAAGTTCTGTGCCAACCTGATAGGTGTACCATATGGAGACGAGGATGTACTCAGCTGCCAGAGCAAGGCCGCCCGCGATCCAGTTCGACTGGACCGATAAAGATAGTAATGGTAGGCCCATTGAGTTATGGGCCGTGTGGCCTATGATTGGTGGGCCTTCATACAGAACGGCTACAAAGGCGCCTACCATGGATAAGATCGTGCCCATGATCTTAGCCAGGCTGCTTGAACTTCTTAAATCTATCTTTTCCATCCTGCCATTTTTTTTTTAATTGCTATTAACATTTTTAATTAAATAAAGCTTATATAGCTGAAGTAGTAGAAATTTAACACTTGACATTTAGACTAATCAATTAAAAATTTGAGCTATAATTAAGTATTTTTATTTTATATTAGTAATTTGCACTAAAAAAATATTAAATTCCAACCCAAAATTCAATTGAAAAACAATATACCAACATAAATTATTAGTGATATCTATTACTATATAATAACAATAAAGAAAAACCTAAGAAAAGCATGAAGATTTCTGTCCAAATTTTCGGTTTTTACTACTAATGAAATTATTTTTTGAATTTTTTTGGTTTCTCCCGCCTATGATTTTTTTTGAAATATTTAGAATTTTTGAAAGTAACATAAATTATCTTTTTTAATAGATATGCATTCCATCTTATCTTGATGTCCATATTTATCTTAATTCTATCCCTATTTTTCTTTTTAATTTTGTTCCTTTTTTGTGGGTATTGTTTTGATTTGATTTTAATATTCTTAATTAGATATTTAGAACTATCAACAATGGTAAAAGTCAAATAACTTGCGGAGCATCACAATTTTTTTTCTTTCCAATATTTTTTTTTTCTTTTCCAATACTACATCTTTTTTCCTTTTCTTTTTTGATTTTTAAATTTCAATTTCTTAAGATGTTGGAAATATTTTTTAGATTTCCATTTTAACATTTATTATATACAAATTAAAATATTTATCAATCTTTCTAAAAATTTTGAATCACTTTACTAAACTAAAAAGGAAAAATTCAAAGTACTCCTTAATTTAAATAATCTCAAAATTTCTGAAAATACCCGAAAATTATGGTCAATTAAAAAGAATTTGAAATTATAGGACAATTATAAACCATAAACATATCAAATAAATTATATGATTTTAATATCTATATTGTTTTGAAATCAAATATTTCATCAGGTAGTTAAGGACATGCTTGTTTATCAATTATTTCACTCACTTTTAATTCATAATCAAAATCTAACTCAACTATAACTCAACCTCATTATCTTTAATATTATTCATATAATTAATAAATACAACTCAATTATTCTTACACATCACATCAACTTTAATTCACTATTCATTCACTCACATAATTTTAACTATTTATCATTGTCAATTATTTTCAATCATTTATCTCATACTTTTACATCAAATCAATTTTAATCATTTTATTTTAAATATTATTTTAATACATTTTTAAAATCCCACTAACAACTAACCATACCACATTTTTCAAAATTAACTCTAGTTAACCAAAATAACTCATATTGGACGAATTATTTTGTAAACAAGCGAGCTCTAAGTTTTCAAACATTCTTAAAACATTTTTAATCTATGTATAAATAATTACAATAAAATAATATGTCAAATCCTTCACATTTTTATTTTGTGCTCAATAGATTTGACAATAAAATATATACTTTTTAACTAAAACCTTTATGATTACATATCATGCTTTAAAAAAATATATCTATAGATAAATTAATAATAATAACTAATTGAATATTGAACTTTTAAGTATGAATATTTCATATTTTTATTCAAAGTCCTTTACATCTCTAATATTATGTGGAGCCTTTTTAATTTTCTTTGAAAATATTTTCTTAAAAAAATTGAAAAATCCCGCATTTGGCTGTTATATTTATGAGATGTCCTGTATAATATGCATGATAATTAATTAGTTGCTTATTTTTTATAGAAATTAATTATGTCAATTTATTTGCATGGTAATTAATTATGAAAAATGCATATTAGAAAACCAATAATGAGATGTTTTAAATATAAATAATTACATTTAAAATAAAGTTAAAAAAATGTTTTAAGGAATAAATCTGCTCGTGCATCGCACGGAATACATACCAGTTCAAATATTATTGCTTCTGTTTAAAAACGCAATTTGGATTGAAATTGCTTTTTTTTTTTTTCTTTTTTTCTACCAACAATTGTAAAACGTTGGAGAAACCGTCTTTAGAATCTTCAGAATTTAGTGGAAATTCCAACGAAAAAATAATTACAACACATTTTTGTTGGAATCTTCACTGTAATTTTTCAATAGAAGTTATAATTAATATTGAATATCTATTAAAATTAATTACCACTATAATTTCTGATGGAATATATCGTTGTTGGAATTTAATTGTTTAAATATGGAAAATGATAGTGTTGATTAATAAAAAAAAGAACGAAAAAAAGAACCTGAAGAGAATTGCGAGAATGAAAGTAGTGGCAGGGGTGAGATTGCTCATGGCTGAACCCAAAGTTGGATTGCTCAAAGCAATGCCAAAATTCCCAAGATATTGTGTTACAAACCTGCATATTTTAAAAATAATAATAATAATAAAGAAAAAAATTTAGTGTTTAACCGAAATATTAGTTGAAATTTGAAGTAATAATATTGAAATATTCGTAAAAATTCCTATTTGGAAAATTTTTCATGAGAGAAAAGAAATATCAAGGGATATTGTAATTTTGAANAGCATATATACATAGCTAATGACGAGCATATTGTAACTTAAATAGTACAATAACATCTATACTTATATAATAAGAATTAACATTTATCCAAAATAGTAGGTCAAATTATGGTCAATGTTTGATTTGTATTAAATATTTTCTAAAACCGGTAAGTTTTTGTCCTTTTCACACTTCTCATTAATTATGTCTCTTTCACACTTCTCATTAATTATGTCTTTTTCACACTTCTCATTAATTATGTCATTTTCACACTTCTCATTAATTCATCAATTACGACATAATTATCATAAATCATTCCATCTGAGCTTTTATCGTTAAAATGTATAGCGATCTGTTATGACCTTATCCCATTGATATTTCCATGAAGCGTCTGTTGATGCTCGAAAATTGATCAACATGGGAGGTTCAGAATTGTTTGTATATATTGAATTTTGCTGTGATTTTTGTATGAATTTTCCAGGAATTACTGTATTTTTCCTTCTGTATTACTGTTGAAGAAACATACAGAATTAGGAAGCCCAGAGGAAATTTTAGGCGGTGCCTCCCCCCTTAGAGATAAGATAGGAAAAATAATAATAGCGCCCCTCAGACTTATCTATCCAGGTCCATCATTGGGGATATATATATATATATATATATATATATATATATATATATATATATATGTTTAATGGGCCTGATATTATCACAAGCGGTATTATTTAAGACCCAAAAAATAAAATAATTGATATAATACATATCCACGTGTAATATTGTAATAGGCTAGGCCAAAATTTGGTATCAACAGCGTCCTTATCGCATTCTATTTTTTGGTAACCACTCTATATCAATAACCGGATATTTGGTTAATGATAGCACACGTCTTTATTTCAAGGAGTGAATATTCTTTGACCATTAACTAATCTGAACTGATTGCCTTGACTTTTCAATTTTTAAAAACTCTTTTTTTTTTTAAATATTTCGGCTTAAGATTCGGATTTCATTATACAAGTCATCGGATTGTTTGAATGAAAATAAATAAAAAGAACACCAAAAACAGGTAGCCTTATTCATATAACCAATCCTAAAATATTAGTTTGTTCACCAAAAAGAGACAAATTCTAGAAATCCTAATATATTAGTTTGTTCACCAATCCTAAAATATTAGTTTGTTCACCAAAAATATTAGTTTGATTTTTAGGATTTGTCTCTTCTGAAAATATTAGTTTGTGATAATGAGGAGTTACCAAATAATCAAACTCATAATGTTGTGTACAAGGAGGTTTTTAATAATATATGATTGTTACCGAACTTTTTATGATTCAACAATGTTCCTATGTATTTTAATGATTTCAATTTCCATCCTAATGCACGTGAGTTTATATTATTCTTCTAAATTTTACATCCCGTGCATCGCACGGGTTATGTACTAGTAAGTATTAAAACGTACCCTAAAACCCCGAGCGAGCAAAATTTCAGCATGATCCCCGTTGTAAATGGAGGAAGTTTTGACTTTCTGCAAGGATAATTGTGTCATTCGCATAACAAAATGACTATTATTTAATATTTTTACAAAAAATAACTAAATTTTACTTTTTTAAAAGCTACATGGCCATTTAGTGATATTACCACCAAAATTGTTACGAATAATTTGATAGCCGTCACAAATTCAGTCAAAAAATTCATGAATTCCAGAGCCGTTATAAATTGAAGTATTAATTATATAAAACAATAACATGAATACATTACTATTACAAAAAAAAAATGAAAAAAAAAAAATGTTCATAGGGATAATAAATATGTTGCCTCAAATTATATATATATAGATAGATTGTAATAAATAAGGAAATGAAGATGAAAAAATACCTATGGAAAATGTAGGAAAGAGGAGCAACCACAATAGCAGAAATAGCATATGTATAGAGCATGAAGATGTGATAGCTTAAACCCTTCGAAACCGCCGCCTTGAAAATCGTGCTGCTTGCCACCGTCGTGCAGCTTGCCACCACCATCGCCACAAACGGAATAATTTCCTGGCGAATATAGTTTCCTCTTGTTATAGCCATGGCTGATTTTTTTTTTTTTATTATTTTCTTAAAAGAAATGAGAGAGAAAGAAAAAGGGGATGAATAATTCTTTATTTTTCTTCTATTATCATTAAAAAAAAAAATTGGTTTATGACTATAAAATGTTGACTTTACAATCAAGATTTTTCTTTCCTATGACAAATACATTTTCCTGCATTTGAAGTTTATAGTGTTCTTGAGAGATGATGAGAATGACATATATGGTGATGCCCACGAGTCAAGCGAGCCCCACGAGTTTATACTTATTATCTCAAAATATAGATGGGATAATTGATATAGATATTTCCCATACTTTCTTTTGTTTTGGAGATTAAACATATAAATATAATTTTAATTAGACAATCAGTATTATATTTAAATATAATTAAAACCTGTTTTTTCACAAGTTAATTTGGTATTTTATTAATTGTTAATAGATCAATAACACGGATAAATTTAACACGAGACATTTAAATCACAAAAACAAATGTATTTCTAATGAAAGAAATCATTTGTGAAACACAACATGAAGGCTATATTTGGTAAATCTATATAAAAAAATTATTAAGTGAATTTTGAAGTTATAACTGATAGTTTATGACTCATGACCGAAAAGGTGGATGATATAACAAAAAATATTTAAAATTAACTGATAAATCAACTGAAACAAAAATTTTCGTTGTGTTTTTTCTTGAGATAAAATTTCGGCGTGTTTTTGTTTCTTGAGATCTGCTTTCTTCAGTTTTGCTATGAAGCAAACAGTTGGCTCAATAGTAGAGCCAACCTTTTTTTATATACAACAAGTAAATCATAACATATTCTCTGTTTACTTAAATAATACTAATAATTTTATTAATTAATATGGTATGGTTTACTTGTTGTATACAGAAGGTTGACTCCACTATGGAGCTAACTCTTCGCTTCATGGCAGAACAGAAACTGATGCTTTCTTAAGCTCAGAGAAGTTTTTTAAAAGATTCATCCTTCATAACTTTATGAACTAACATGTGTCCAATGTATATTTAATGCATGACACATGTCAATACATCATTTGTAAATAACTATAGATGGCTCCATAACAAAATCGAACCAAACCAAACCAAACTCATTTAAGTTTTCTTGAGATAAGCTTTCTTAAGCTCAGATAAGTTTTTTTAAAAAGTTTCATCTTAACAAACCAAACTCATTTAAGTATAAAAAACCTATAAACTAACTAAATAAGATATAAGTTATCTTATTATGCTTACCAAATATACTCAAAATTTGTGTCCACTCTAACAAAATTCTAAAAGCCCGTATGATAAGAATTAAGAACTAAGAAGACCTCAAATCCTAAATAAAAATAAGGATANACAACACCGACCAGTACAAATAATAGTTTCATGTCAACTAATTTATACACCTACCAAATCTGACAACTTCAATATAAAAACTAATGTCAACTAATCCATGCCACCAAATCTGATGCCAAATTTAAGTGTACAAGGTATCATATATACAAATATGCCCAATTTATTTTGAAGATATGATGTAGAGCTAGCGTGGTAGATAAAAGGGAGAAAAGAGAAGAACTCTCGTTTAATTCAATAATATGTTCAAAACAATCTGCCCTGTTCAACAGATGAACGGGAAATATATAAAATCCTAACTTTCTTATTTCTACTCAACTTGCCTAACAAGATAGGCTAGCTAATTATTTAATTATCAATACTAAACAAGTACTAAGGAAATAAAATGAAAGTCCTAATAAATAAGCAAAAATACTAGGAAATAAATATGCTAAATACGAAGCCGGTCATATTTGTCCAAGAATGCAATCGCGGTCTCGTCTCCATCAAGATATCATTAATATATAATTTTATGGTACGATTGTTTTCAGCATATATAAATTGATATTATTATGATAATATTTTTATCTTTGCATTTTCATCAGATCAGTCACACTTTCCAAAATCTTCTTTTGTTTGATTGGGGTATTATAGAGCTAGAGAAAACAAGACTTCAATCTTTTTAAATAATCAAATAAAATGAATCTATTAATCAATGGAAGAAAAACGTGTTACTTCACTGCACAACCCATTTAAAGCTTTGGGCCTAAACTTAACAAGCAGCCCATCCTTACGTGGGGTATATGCATTTGAATGCGAAGTCACAAGTGTGAGCCAATTTGAAGTGCAATTGTTATTTGAAAAGTATACTCCTTATACACATCTTTTTTTGCAGGAAATGTATCTGCATTTCATGTGTATGAAATGAGATTGCCAATTTGCCATAGCTAACTACTACTTTAGAAGAGGGGCAATTGTGTCTTTTGACGACGTTTCCACAAGATTTCCGTCTTTCGCTTTCCCCCACAGAACCGTATAGAACCCCGCCGTAATAACTATGGATCCAATCACGCTATAAAACAAATTCGATAAAAAATGAACTAGTTACCATAAAACAAGAAAAAAATGCAGTTGATACTTCAAAATTACTACTATTTTAATTTACGCAAACTATTGGTAGCCGAAAAGTTTACCTTCCCAAGTAGAGATCGTCACCGAGGAATATGACACCCAAAATGGCTGCAATGGCTATCGATAAAGGCCTGAACAAGGCTACGTAAACGGGCCCTTTCACGTGCAGGCCCCAAGTGTGGACCATTATACTAAGCCCAGTTCCAATTACTCCCTAATATCAGTAGACTCAAATTATTTTCCCAGTCAACCAAGGCTGTGTTTGGTAAGCATATAAGTTAGCTTATGGCTTATTTGATTAGCTTAAAAATTTCATGTATTCAAATAAGCTTGGTTTGGTGAGACGAGCCTTTTTTAAAACGTTCGAGCTTATCTCATAAGCTTTCTTGAGTAGCTTTTCAAATAAGCTTACCAACTAATTTTACCAAACACTTTTATCATATAAGCTAGTTTTTCAGTCATAAGTCATAAGCTATGAGAAGCTCAAAATTCAATTAAAAGCTACAGCTTATCAGCTAGCTAGGCTTACCAAACACAGCCCAAGAAACAAAATTTATTCCAGAAAAATATGTTTTCATCTTATGGTTCGGTTCTTTCTCACCGAGTACAAAATCGACCACAACCGAACATCAGCATGTATTACCCACGGACTCAAATTTGGCTCGGAGGCAATACCTACGGCCAAGGAAATGAAGAAAGCAAAAAGACTGTAGAAAAAAACCAATATAAACTCTGCTGGATACTCTATAACAACTTTACTCTGCAACAAAAGATAACAAAATTAAAAAAACACCCAAAAAAAATTAAAAAAAAAAAAAATCGTAAAAATGGAAATACAAGAAATGTCCGAAAAGTATAATAACCTGGTAAATGTACCAAATAGAGGATGTAACATAACAGCACGCGAGTAAGCCACCACCCACTATCCAATTGGACCGAGCATCAGATATAGCATCCGAAAGAATGGAGGCATTAGACAGTGTTAATTTGTCGTGATTGCCAGTTATAAGCAATGGGCCGTTATAGAGTACAACTACTAAAGCACCCAATATCGACACTAGGGTCCCCACGATTTTCGCCTGGCTACTTAAACTTCCCAGTTTAAGCTTTTCAAGCCTAACAGAGGCAGAAGGAAAAAAAAAATGAAACATAAATCCTTTAATGCCTTTTAAAAGAATATGTAGTATGAAAAAGGAAACCACATAGCAATATTTCTAATTATAGAAAGAACATAAACCCCAAGGCCAAGGTATTTTGCCAGCTACTACACATAACATTTTAAGTTAACAACTTAACAAGCTTGTGTTAATTCAAGTTCGAGTGAGAATAAAAACCTGAAAAGAACCGCGAGCAAAAAGGTGCAAGGAGCAGAGAGATTGCTCATGGCTGAACCTAAAGTTGGACTACTGTATGCAATGCCTAAATATCCCAAGTATTGCCCTGCAAATCTGCACCCAAAATCTATACTTTCAGCCCAAAAAGTTTAAAAAATAAAATAAAATAAAATTGCAATCATAATAATATATAATACAATTGTAAGGCAGCCAAATGGTAAGGCGGATCGACCTGCCATATTTTCTTTTAACAAAAATACATACTGAGAAATATCATGCGTTTATTTCACAAATTCTTGTATGTTCAGTCCAATGGTAGCAAGTGTTATACTTCTGTTTATGTCCTTTTTTTAAAATATGACCACCTTTTAATGAAATTATGCACATTTGTGAAAATAATATGTCCGCCTAACAAAAGATCTACCGCTTTAATTTATGACTTTATGTTGTTTTTAAAAGGATATCACTAATGTACACGAAGTGTGCATATAATGTTGAAAAATTATGGCTGACTAATCTTCAACCTAACAGCAACCTTAATGAATAAATATATATATAGNNNAAAAATGCATACCCAAGAAACCCAAGGATGCAAAATTTGCCAAGCATGACAATAGAAAGTGGAGGGAGCCTTGTTTCCCTGTACAAAAACCCAGTAATTATTGATAATAACAAATTAATAATAAAAATAATCAGATTTTAATCAATAATTATGCTTTAAACTAAATATTCACAGCTGCAAGAGCTGAAAAGAACCTGTGGAAAAGGCAGGCGAGAGGGAGTAGGACGAGGGCAGAAATGGCATAAGAGTACACCATAAAAACGTGGTAGTTGAGGCCCTTTGTGACGGCGGCTTTGTAAATCGTGTTTTGGCCGACGTTTAAGCTCTCCACACCCACCATAGCCAAGAACAGTAGCACTTCCCGGTAAAAAATTCTCCTTCCTCTCATCTCTCTCTCTCTCTCTCTCTCTCTCTCTCAACGTATAATATTATTTTAGCCAAATGCTCTTTCAGATATTTTTATGCCTCTTATTTATTAGTGGAACAAATGGATTGGGGAAATTTTCATTATTTACTATTGTTTATTCTTTTACTCACGGACCACTGTGTACAGGTCAATCCTGTTAGGGGATGCTTGGATATAATTTTTTTTGATTTCTTTGAATTTTTTAATTTGGTTTGATTAATTTTGAAAAAGATGATATAGTTAGTTGTTAGTGGGTATATTTAAATAAAATTTTAAAATAAAATAATTAACGTTAATTTGATGTAAAAGTATAAGAGAGATAATTTGAAGTTATGATTAATTAGAATTATGTGGGTGGAGTTTATGTGGTGTGTAAGATTGATTGATTGATATTATTTAATTATATTGATAATATTGATGACAGTGAAGTTGAGTTAAAGTATATAATTTTAGCAAAATATATATTTTTGCTACAATAATATTATACTCTTAAAAATAATATAAATAAGAAAGTAGAGTATTTATTATCATAAGTATATATATTTTATATCCTCCTAACCGTGACTCCAACTTACATGTGAATTTAATAATAATAATAATAAGAAGATGACTTTGTAGGGATATTTTGGGATGAAGCAAATGAACAAAAGCTGCACTCAATAATAGCATTTGGCCATTCTCTATTGAATAAAGTTTTTATTATGTTAACAAATGGACAAAGACATAACACAATGTTGTGCAATGGACCTGATAGGAACATTTGACCAATTCCTACTAATAAATAATTATATTTCCAATTTGATAAAGTTGAAGAAGACAATGTGAGATGTTTGTTTGGCTATTATTTCTCTGAACCTTGGATAGGATTAAGAAGACAATGTGAGATGTTTGTTTGGCTATTATTTCTCTGAACCTCGGATAGGATAACAATGCGGCCGAGGAATGTTTGTTTGGCAATTATTTCTGCATATCTTAGATAGGTTTACAATGGGCCAAAATACATGTGTCTTCGACAAAGATAAAAAAAAAATGGTTTGAGTAAATTTCATCATACCCTACCCATAGTAAACTAAATTCTATAATTTGAAGACATACCTACATGTGAGTAGATATAATCCAACAACTCAAAATCAAAATACAATAGATTCAAAATTTTGAACCGTGATTAATAATTTGTTGAGTAGATATAACACAACAACTCAAAATACACTAGACTCAAGCAGGGTGGACGCAAACTCGCAAGACTGAGGGGCACAAACGTAACATTTACAAAGTGCAAAAAAAAAAAATGATATTTATTCTCTACATGTTCTTATATATTATATCACTCATAATTACATAAATTCAAATCTCATTAAATATATCTTTTTCGAATACCAACATTTTTTTTTCTTTTGCATTGAATATTCTTACGACGTCAAAATTCGTGGACACCTTTATAATAAAAATAAATATTTTATTAGTCAAAAAATCAATAACAAATATAATTTAGTAGATAATTTTAAACTTATAATTATAATTTTAAGAACACCTAAAATTCAATATGTATCAAAATCAATGTTGACTTTTGTGAAAAATCGATGTAACTCATTTATATATATATATTACCTACAACGTAATACAAATACAAATACAAAATGCAAACAACTTAAATTATAAGAAAATCTCTCTGCAATTATTTTACAATATAATTATATATGTACTAATTTTTTTTTAAAAAATTGCACAGAGGCCAGTGCCTCTATGGGTCCCTGTCTATGTCCGCCCCTGGACTCAAGATTTTTAGGGCATGCTTGAATATAAAAATTCACTCAAAATGGATTTTTTGGTTACCTAAAATTAATTTAAAAAAATGTGGTATGATTAGTTCTTTGTGGAATTTTAAGTTTATATTAAAATAATATTTAAAATAAAATAATTAAAACTGATTTGATTTAAAAGTACTAGAAAAATGATATAGAGTGATGGTTAGTTCAAATTATGAGAGTTGATAAATAGTTAATTAAATTTAATGCAATGTATAAAAATGATTGATATTATTTAATTTATATCGATAGTATTGAAAATACTGCATTAAAATTGAATTAAATTTTGAATTGAATAAAATATGAATTGAAAATTTTTATATCCAATCACGCCCTTTAACAGTCTGATTAATACATACCAAAAGTGGTAAAACAATAATAAAAGAAAAATGATGACGAGAAAGAAAATTGCTGTTGGAGTTGGATTTGATGGACACAGTCACACAGCAGGCACTAATTGCACGTTTATTAGAGGTACTAAAAATGCACATAATTTGAACTTAACTGTGTTAATCATTCTAGGATGTGTAACAAAAGGGTAAACTGGCTCAAAAATAGAATAAAACAAAACAAAAAAGCCCCTCTCAAAGTTTCTTCTTCTTTCTTCTCAAATTCGGCATGGAGCGAAGAGACTTTGCATAATGGCTCCCAGCATCATCATTCTCAGTCTCGTCCGGCAAACCATAATCATCATTACCTGCATTAATCTCAGCATGTTCACGATTTCCTTCCTCAGCCAAAGAATTGCCTAAATCGAGACCGTCAGATTCTTCCGGAATCTTCTTTTCCTTGTCATTCGAGGCTTCATCTTCTTCATCCACGCAAAACCCACCCCCAAACTGAAGATAGTCCTCTGATAAACTGCCCTCCTTGAGGAATTGCTCATCAGTTTGGTTCCCATGGGTTAAACCTGCACTCATGCTTTTATCTGTTTCTCGAGTTATTTCCTGAGTAACTTTTGCAGAATCATTTTTACCACCAATCCAATCATTCGTACCTTCTTCATCGATATTGCTCCCATTGTTGGTCTCATTAAAGCTGCCGAGAGCTTCAGTCACAAATGGGTCCTCATCCATTGGAGGAGTTTCTATGAGATTATCTTTTTCATCACTTTCATCGTCTGATACGTTGTAGTTCACAGTCTTTCTAACTCGTCCTGACTGCAAGTCACACCATCATTTTTAAAATTAATTACAAATAAATTAATGGATGAAAAGGATAGGTAGGTAGTTTTTGTAATTAAATTAAATTAAACCTCAGGATATATTGCATAAATATCCTCGAGTAAATTAAGGTAAGTTTTTCAATGTGCTTCCATCAACCACAGATCAAGAAAAGAGCTCGACTCACCCTTCGTACTTGACTGGATTCTCCCGACTTGTCAAATTGCATCTCTTCGTCAGTTTCACTACCACTGATTTCAGCATCTTCCCAAGAAGAAGTCTTTTTCCTTATAATCCCTCTTTGTTTTCCCCTTGCACGTGTTTCTTTCCTTACAACAGACTCAAATAAATTAGTTTTTTTTGGAGTTTTTTCTTTAGTACGACTTCTTTTTATCGGCTTAACCGTTACATTTTCCAATGTGTCATTATTGGCACCCACACAATCTGATTGGTTGGCTTCATCGGACTTCGCTTTTCTTTTTTTCCCGCCCACGGGACGTTGTGGAGCCATCTCATCCATCAGATCGGAAGGTTTATTTTTTGTTATATCTTTGACAGCTTTCTTTATTCTTTTACTGCGAATTTTTGCAAATCTTTCGTTGAATGTATAGAATGCTTCCAACCTCAACTGTGTCTGCATCGACCAAAGCATGAAACAAAAACAGAAATATAAGGGTGTGACTGGATATGGATTTAATTTGGTTTTGATTAATTTCTTTGTTAACTATAGTAAATGAAAAAGGTGGTATGATTAATTGTTAGTGAGATTTTGAATTTATATTAAAATAATATTTAAAATAAAATAATTAAAGTTGATTTTATGTAAAAGTAAGAGAGAGATGATGTGAAGTAAGTGTTCGTTGAAATTATGTGAGTGGATGAATAGTGAATTAAAATTGATGTGATTTGTAAGAATGATTAATTGGTATGATTTAATTATATTAATAATATTGAGGATGCTGAGGTTGAATTAAAGTTGAGTTAAAAAAAGTGATTGACTTAAAAATGATTGATTTTTTTATTTTATTTTTTATCAAATTCGTATCAAATCACACCCTAAATACACGTAACAGTCCAGAAATATTCAGACGTGCAAAATTTGTAGTTTCCATTTTTCAAATGTTTCCTGTTCGGAAAAGTTCATGTCATCCTGTTCATGTTCAATGGGAACATTATAGAGCGTTTAAAGGGAGAATCATAAACCTCACGCTTGTTGTACTCGTTTAAAACTGGTAGCAGCAACTCATCAGCTTTTGACGTGCCCCACCCAAACTTCTCCCAACACAATCTACAGATAAAAACATTGTCAATCTGCTTTTTCTTTTTAAAAAAAAAAAATTATTTAAGGACAATCAAATATGGCATATTGTCAAAATTACAAATTTGACCTTTAGAAGCTGGTCGAACAAATAAATATTAAAGATAAAATAAGAAAAAAAGAAGTTAAGACTCACTTGCGAAGAACAAACAGGTCTGGCTTTCCCCATGCAAGCGCTTCAGTAGACTTATCCACTTGTGGATTTGCGTATGCTGAAATCACAGCATCACTTGGAAACGAAGAACTTATATGCCAGTTTTTGCTCACGTTCCTCTGCAAAACTCATTATTTAAAAGAGAGAAAAGGAGAAAAGAAAAAAAAAAAAAAAAAAAAAAAAAAAAAGAGGAAAAAAAAGGCACACAAAAGTCTAGCCACCACAAAAAATGCCAATCACTTGTATTGATCGGGGAGAAAAATAACGACATGAATGTGACTTACATGTTTCTCCATGAAAATCTGCTTTACACCAGCATTGTCAGGTTCTACATTGCTGCTTGAGCAACTCTTAACATTCTCACCTCCCTTTGGTCCCTTCCTTCTTGAGTTGCTATCCACATCTAATTTACCAAGAATCGTAGGATCTGGAGACTCAATCCACTCTCGAAATTCACGAAGACCATCTTTTCCAGGAAATGCATTCACAACCTCAATTGCATTGACAATGCCGATGCCACTGTAACATAATATCATCAGATTAAAATACACATTGTACATTTTTCGTTTTACTGTTTACAAATTAATCCGCTCAAAATGAGTTTATTCAATTAACCAGAGTTAATTTTGTAAAAAGTTATATGGTTAGTTATTAGTGGAATTTTGATTTTGTATTTAAATAATTAAAGTTGATTTGATGTAAAAGTAGGAGAGAAGTGATGTGAAGTGATAGTTAGTTAAAATTATGTGAGTGGATGAATAGTAAATTAAATTGTGTAAGAATGATCGGTTTGCATTATTTAATTATATTGATAATATAGTTAAAGTTGAATTAGATTTTGAATATGAATCGAATGTGAATTAATTATTTTATAAACAAACATGCTCAAGCAAATGAAACCAAGGATTACCTAATGCCTTCAGTATAGTCGCTCCCAAGAAGCAGTGCCATGTGTATCAACTTCTCTCTATCTAACCCAAGCTCATTCTCAATGTCCTAAAAGAACAATCTAATTATCAAAACCTACAATAAGTCTTAAAACAGACAATTGCTAATAATTTTGAATCCAACCGAACGACACCCATCAGATGATAAATAGTAACACACCTTCATGAAGTATGTTTCCACATATTTGCGGTCATCAAAAATGTTTTTGTACACACTGCTTGCCCCAAACAAGAACGCATCAGAATCATCAGTCACCACACCATCAACAAGGTTGGACAGCTCCATGAAAGCACACTGTGCTTCGGCCTCCATTGGTGCAATTATGTATGGTAAACCAAACATTTGAAGCAATTCCTACAAATAAAAAAATCAATAAATCTCCCAAATAAAAAAAAAAAGAAAAAAGAAAAAAAAAAGAATGATGCTGGCACAACCTAATACGGCAACATATCCTCAAGTTTCACATGAAAACATAACAACCAAGAGAGAGAGAGAGAGAGAGGGTCGAGTCACCCAATCATACCTGACACTCGACAAACATTTCATTGCTAACTGATTCTGAATTTCTCTCGAGTTTACGTTGCTCACTCCCCAAATCCTCACGTTCTTTTTCTAAAAACAGCATCTCTTCCTCAAGATTATTTTCCACCGTTTCTGGGTCAATTTCATTGTTGTTCCTCACAACTTCCTCCTTTTCCAATGAAAAGCCACCATATTGTTTCTCATTGGCCAATTTATTCGCACCATCAACACCAATTACTGAATCAACAGCAGAGAACTGAAGTCCTGAGGCACTGCAAGCATGGTCATCTGATTCTGCGCGAAGCATTTCTTGAGCAGGAGCTGAAGACGAACTCAATGCAAGGCCACCTTCACTGAGAATGTTCAATGACTGCTTTTCGAAAGTAGACGATCCATCCTCCTGTTCAGGTTTTGAGTTTTCTTTTATGGGATTCAATTCTGTAAATTCAACAAATTCAGCAGATTTCACCCCTTTACAGTTCAACTCGGGGGCATTAATTGAATATGGCTTGCCTGCATTGGACTCTGGGGCTTCACTCCCAGACCCTTTTTGTTCATCTTCATTAACTAGCACTCTATTCTCATCCTCACTAACCATCTCTCTATATCCACCTTTTGATATGACATTATCATCGTGAAAGTCACTCATTAATTCACGACTCCCAGTATCCTCAAGATTTATAATTAATGCCTCTTGAATATTATCTTCTCCTTCCAGAGAACCTTTTGTTACTCCAGAGGCTTCAGTCTCAGGCCCTTCTTGTTCCCCTTCATTACCAAACCCCAGATTTTCATCCTCATTTACCATCTCTTCATCACCACCTTCTGATACCATGTTGCCTTCTAGGAAGCCATTAATCAATTCATGACGTCTTGTATCCTCAAGACTTCTTCTTATAGCCTCCTGAATATTAGCTTCTTCTTCTAGAACACCCTTTGTCACAACAGTTCTCTGGACCTCATATGATGCCTTCAATTCACTATCTCGAAACCCTCCATCCTCCCACTCAATGTCTTCCTCGTCAGCCAGTCCCCCTTCACAAAGACTTTTGTCTTCAATTACTCCTTCCTCCCATTCATTATCCGAGTCCGGATTTGAAGTTTGAGAGAAGTCCTTTACTGGTTCTCCAGCCACCAAACGAGTAAATATGTTATCATCGTCATTTTCATTTTTGTTTTCATTATGCAGCGTGTCCTCAAACGAAATCTCTAAAGAGCCCTCCTTTGTTACATCATTATTCTTATCAGTAACTTCTCGATGACGGGTTTCATCAAATGCATTGTCCAGGATATCAACTGGATTTTTATTTCCAACGGATTTACTATTTTTTTCCTGACTCGTGCCTGCTTTATCCCCATCAATCTCATTCATTAGATCCAAATTCCTCTGCAGATCTCGAGTCATACGAATCCCTAGTGCTCTCACCCTACTGACTCGCAAACGACCTCTCTCATCCACATAAGTCTCGACATCTTCGTGAAAACTTTTTTTTCCTGTTTCAGCAGCAGAAGTCGGTTCAGCTGCACCCTGGGATTTTCTACTTGAAAGAATTTCATTGACAGCACTGGTGGAAGATTTTGCTGGTGGGGCCCGATTTTGGCTGGCTTCAGATCTCTCTTGGCCAATAGACATAAAGGCTCTGATAAAAATCAAGAGTCCAAAATTTAGAAATAGAAGACTATAACATTAAAATTCATATATTACTTAACTGTTTGTCTCCGGTGAATGACGAGGAAAATATATATTCCCGATTGGCCTCAGATGCAATGCGTGAAGTCTGCACGCCACCTATTCCTTTCCCGGCAGCAGCCTTTTGGACAACATCTATCTCACGGCGGAAAGCAACTGTCTTGAGATAAGACTCTATCTGAAGTTCTGAGAACCTTGACGGTGCCTAAGAATATAGCAACAAATATTTTAACCAAATTAAATTAAGTAAAAAATCTTTGACTTTCCTCTGTTAAGCACGTCATTTTGATAAGGAACTAGCAGAAACGTGAATAAAAGTGATAGCAACAATTATGTTTTTCTTGAAAGAAAAGAAAAAGAGAAAGGTATCAAACAGTTCGTACCTTTTTCACCTTCTGATACTTCTGCCTGTTCTCGGCCATCAGTCTCTCTCTCATCTACAAAAAGGATGTCATCAAGTCACATAAACATAATAAAATTAACATAAACAACTCATTTTTCATGAATAAAGTTGATAACTACAGTGAAAATAGTAGTGGGAAATGCAGACACCTGAACAAGAAGATCAAGTTGCATGGACGGAGGTAAACTAGCCAAGACTGCAGGATCAACATTTCCATGCATCTCTGGCTAAAAGACAAATATGGCACAAGAGGGTAAGACTAAAAGAAATAAAAAATTAGTAATAATAAAGTAGTGCCAAATGAATTGGAAGAAGCAACCCATAGACCTCCCGACCGATCAAGAAACATAGCCTTACTAGTATCATTTCTTCATCTTCATCATCCTCTTCTTCATCTACAAAAAGAGCTTCGTCATCCTCAACCCCAGCACCTGATGTTGATGCATTATTAGTAACACCGTCATTCTCCTCCGCAGCAAGAGAGGCCGCTAGCCTAAATCATCTAGTCGTGAAAAATAAGGAAAACATTCACATTAATAAATTACCAAAAACAGAATCCAGATTAAACTCACATAGCGTCCAATTCTTCCTGATTCAGACTGGCAAACACATTGGAATTTAATTTTTCCTTCTCCTCTTCCTTCTCACTGCTTGGTGTATCTACAATGGGTTTTTTACCCTTCACGTCATTCTCCTGCCTCTGCTTCTCAAGGTCTGCTGCCAACTCTTTCAACTTCATTTGCTTAAGCTATTCAGGGATAAATAAAAAATTACTCTTTTGAGATAACAACAAAACCGCGCCAGGCAAACCTCAACTAGAATGTCATCATCAATTCATCAAAAACATTTACAGATTCACGAGAACTAGCAAAACAGCTCACACAAGTAATAATAAAAAATAAAATCGAACGAAGAATGAGAAAAGATGTGCATCAGCAGAAATCAATACTTTCCAAATTACAGATCAAGGAAACCAGTAGAAAGAGTCACCTGATTGAGCAGCAATTTCTCAGCAGTCTTTCTGATCTTAGCCTGGGCATTCTCCCGCTGGCGGCGGCGCGCAATGACCGTCCGCCGCTTAAGAGATGGCGTACCACCGTCAAATACGAAAACCGGCTTGGTCCTGAGGTAAAGAAGCTTGCAAATTCGGCGGAAAAATCCCAGTACGTGTGCATTTCGAACCATCTCTCCCTTCTCGTCTCGCATAGCCTTCATGAACTGTATTATCCATATACTCGCGTCTACATAAATCATAGAAAGGGAAAAAAAAGAAGGTAGAAGAATTAAAGAGTGAATAAGTGGCGCCATAGCGGGATCGGGGCTAGGGTTTTAGGAGTACCAATTGCGAGCCTTTTCCCGGCGAGGGTTTCGACGGAGACTCGCCGGCCGACGGGGGCCAGCAGTTCCCATAGGCCGTGGACACCCATCGGAAGGTTCTCGGGTCGGTTCTTTTCTCCCGGCGACGATATAGAAGTTGGTTTACGTGGCGTTGTATTACTTCATTTTTTCCGTTTTTAAGAGGGAATTATTATCAGCCTCCCTCCTAAAATGTCGGTTTGTTTGCACGGGGACGGGACAGTTGACCGTTAATTGGGCCAAGAATATTGGGCTTGAAATGCATGGCTTCAAATCTCAATTCTCAAGCAGTAATTGGGCCGTTCTGGCATGACCCGAAAGAAGCCCACAGAAAAATCTGTACCAAACATTTATCTCTACTTTTTTTCTTCTGTTCATCTTCAACCCACACAATTGCTCGTACTTGCGCCTGACCTTGATATGGCAATCCTCTATTCGTTTCTGTAGAATTTGTTAAGTGTTTTTTGCTTACTCATTTTGATTGATTCTATGTACCATGGTGTGATACTTGAGTTTTAGAGCAGGAATTATTGTGATTGGTAAAATTACAGTGTTGTTTGTGTACGATGATATGTGGGGGTTTTGTTTAATTACCTTTATCCAATTATTTTTCTGTGGCTGGTGGAATTTTTGGATCGAATTGAGCTTTGACACTTTTTTGCAGATAGAACTTTTTATTCTAATTTAGGGGAACTGGTTAAGTGCATAAGATGGTTGTACATTGTGTAATAATTTCCAAGAAGTTGAAAATGAAAGGGGATTAACCAGAAATCAATATTTTGCTGATTTGCAGTACTCTGTGAACTTGGGCTGTACTGAATTACATTAATCAATCACACGCATAGGTCTAGTTGATCTTGATTTTGTTTTT